TCAATATCTGTTTGTCTCAGTACTAACGTCTATTTGTGAACGCACTGAACTGGAGAACTATAGGGCGATGGACGCTTTCAGTAGCGTTATTTAAATAACAACACCGACCAATGATATAAATATGTACTTTGTTTATTTAAACATTCTAAAACGAATGTAGTTAGAAGTTGAATCTATGCACTGTAGAACGTTGCATATTTATTTTATTTCATACCGTAGGTATAGCAGGTACGTATTAAGTTATTGACTGTAAGTAAGTTAGGTACTTTATTAATGGGTAGTTTAGTTCCCATAGTAAATCCTGCAATTACCTAAAAGGTAAACACATCTTATACAAATAGACAGTGTTTATGTACGATATTTTTCAGAAACGAACAACAATTTATGTATTACCTAATAACATATTTTTTGTCTATATTTCCAGGTACTGTTGGCGGAACTCCGTGACACAGAATACTACTACGCTGTGAAATGTTTGAAAAAAGACGTTGTTTTAGAGGACGATGACGTCGAGTGCACATTGATCGAGAGGAAAGTTCTCGCACTTGGCACAAATCACCCCTACCTCTGCCATTTATTTGCTACTTTTCAGACGGATGTAAGTAAACCGAACATTTATAATCATATTTCATGTTCCACGATGACATTCGAAATAGCTTCATTCCGCTAAATTTTATGCGGGGATCATTAGTGATTACGCATTTAAATCGAATTAATTTTGATATTTTTTATTACAAATCTTCACTTTACTTTATAAATGTTGAAGTAAAAAAATTGCGTGTTATGTATATTTATAATTAAAATTGGCACACTATTTGGGGCCTAGACAGACAAAATAGTTATGATTTTCATAGAAACATAAAGTCCATTGTGAATAAAGATTAATAACCGATTCAGGATGGTGCAAAATATCAAAAAGTACTCAAACTACGGGTAGCCTCAAGTTGGCGCAAGGTTTCAAGATTTTGAAATGAATTATACCTACTAGCCAAAAGAGGTTTTAAAAGTTACCAACTTAAAGTTAAGAAAGAAGTACCATATCTAATTCTAATTACATAATTTATATGTTTTAGTCTCACCTGTTCTTCGTAATGGAGTATCTGAATGGCGGTGACCTGATGTTCCACATTCAGCAGAGTGGGCGCTTCCCTGAAGCACGCGCGCGTTTTTACGCTGCGGAAATTGTATCGGGACTTAAATTCTTGCACAAGAGAGGCATTGTGTACAGGTAAATAATAAATAAATGCCATTTGACATTTACTTATAAAAAACATAAGTAGAAAAGCCCTTAGACCGTGATGATATAGCTATAACGTTGGTTAACTAAATTGATAATAGTCTTCGTAATGTTTACCTGAACGACTATCAACAATTTTTAATAGTGCAAGTAAAACATTTTAAAATACGTACTTAGACCAATTTCCACTTGAATTAATGTCCATAGTGAATTACTAAGACTATCCAGAAATACAATAATAAGTACCTACTACAACACAATACAACATATATCTAATTACCTATATTTGACCCAATTCCAGGGACTTAAAACTGGACAACATCCTTCTGGACTTTGAAGGTCACGTCCGTATCGCAGACTTTGGCATGTGCAAGCTGCAGATCTACTTGGACAAGACCGCGGACACTTTCTGCGGCACCCCGGACTATATGGCGCCAGAGGTCAGTTACATTGATGCATAAATATAATGAAATTAAAAGAAGTTTTTAAGGGGCGTTTAGGGAACAGAGAGTACAGTTCCCTAAGATCGGAAAAGGATCTCGTGTCGCTACAGGCATACAGACCTACTAAGTGATACCCTGTATTTTTACCTATATGGCAATTACCTGGGACATGAGACCAGGGCATCAGTTTACGTATGTATGAAAGTAGTTACTAAGCAAGAAGAATGTAGAACCAATTAGTAGTAATTAGGGACCTACAAAAGTACTTCCATTATAGGAGCTTTTAAAATTCTTATTTATTTGGAATCCTATGTTACGTAACTAAAGATATCTATGAGTAAGATTATTAATAAGATTAATCCGTTGCAGTTGAAATGAGTTTTAATTAAGACTTAAATCTATCTCCATAGATCTTGTCATAATTAATTATTATTGAATCACCCAGTACACCTGCCAATCTCGTGGTTGGCAGTCACGCGGTGATGATCACAAAATTATACCTATTGAAAATCAATCGATCAAAGGTTGGTCTTTGTTAGATTATTGTGTTGCTTATTATATTCTGTTGCTTTCACATTACGAAATAAATGTTGCATTTGGATATAAAAACTATAAAAATTTATCATTTAATATCGGGCGTTAAATATCCGCATTTGTGCGGCATCCGCCTTCCGTGTTCTGTGCGTTTAATTTGAATATTGTTATTAATGAACGTCAAGCCTATCTATGCAGTACGTCAATAATAATTGTCCATTAGTAGACATTAGAACAACGACACAATTATAAAAATCATTCAAAGATTCCGCCCACGCACTCTCACCTAGTTGATAGACAGGTAGTTTGTGTAAAAAAATGTGGACGACTAAACCTGTCAGTCTGGTCTTGTTATGATATTCTTGAGCACATTCATGATGCATGAGTATGACACATTGATATTGGTACTTCTTCATATAGTATGTACCTAATTAGTCGCCAAATGTCTGTCAACACTATGCAGAACAACAGCACATTTACACGTTAGCGTTTAGTATCTGCTCGGTGATCAACAATAATGCACTACGGAGGTCAATAGCATTCCTTAGAAGAGTCCTTCATGGAGTCACTTGTCATCTAATTTTAGCAAAAGTAGACCTTACTTGGTGACATTTTGGTTGATATTGGGTTACAACTATTTCAGTATTTAGGGACTTAAGAATTTTTACCACAAGAGATTTAAATATCTAATATTCTGATTCCAGATAATAAAAGGCCTAAAATACAATCAGACCGTGGACTGGTGGTCATTTGGCGTACTTCTGTACGAGATGCTGATTGGTCAGAGTCCGTTCAGTGGCTGCGACGAAGATGAGCTGTTTTGGTCCATCTGCAATGAGATGCCGTCCTATCCGCGCTTCCTCTCACATGAAGCACTTACCATATTGACTAGGGTATGTAGAAATTATACACCTTTGTATGAATTGGAAAATCATCAAATGACTCATTTTTCCCTAGTGTCAGACTATTACTGATTAATAACCACTTCATTTCAACTTTCTTTGCTTTCTGCCGGGGCCGCGGTACCTACCATCAAACCACTAATCTCGCCAGACAACTCTGGCGAAAAAATAGCACATATTCATTACCTGAAATAATGTAAATGTTCCAGTTATTGGACAAGGATGCACGGACCAGACTGGGCGGCACCGAATGCATGCACGGAGACATCAGGGACCAGGACTTCTTCCACGCCATCCACTGGGACAGGCTCGAGAGACGCGAACTGGAGACACCTTTTAGACCACGAGTGGTAAGTGCGATGTTAATTATGGATATTAATCATTTAAAGGGCGAGATATTTTAGAAAATTGTTGATTGTCTGATCACTTGCCTTAATATGTTCTTTCTCCCAACAGCGACATCCAATGGATACCCAATACTTCGACAAAGCGTTCACGGGTGAGCGACCTCGCCTCACCGCGGTAGAACCCCACGTACTGCGCTCCATGGACCAAGAACCTTTCAGAGGTTTCTCCTACACCAACCCCAACACGACGGACCGCTAAACTCTACTCTAGTACATAGAGTGATGGTTGAAATTCCCTTATATTTAGCAGGCGTAAGCGCGAGACGTTTTCGAGAACGTTCGATGCGTGATCATCGATGTTGTTATTGGTGATTGATTGTAAGTCCCGCTGGACGGTAGTCATTGGCAGTCGATTTTTTGTAGTCATTAACGAGTAACTTAGACCCCGTGGATAGCGTAGAGCGTAGACATTTATATTGTATGCGTAGTATCTACTTTTTACAAGTGGGTCAAGTTATGTCAGCTGCCTTTTTACGTAAGTGTTGTATTCTAAAACGAGTCGATAGACATACATAGAAGATATCGTAAATAAATTCAGTTTAAATGCATATCAATTAAATATGTTATTGTGTCTGGTACACGATTTGTATTGTTATATGGATAGGTGTAAGGTACAGGCTGTAACACACACGCTGCGCATGAGATACATTAAGAATTCTAAGTTTAAAAAAAGTATCGAATAAATCTTAATCTGTTAAAAATCTTTTAATATTTCCAGCTTGTGCGTTACAAGGCTATTTTAATAGTAAAACAATATTTTATAAGTTCACGTATTCATGTTTATTTTAATAGTACAATCAAATGCATAAACATGCATAGGTATTTTACGACATACTACTTAGACAATTATTTTATAACTTGATACACTAATTTAACCAATATGAGAATCAAAATTATTAATTATTATTAAAATTAAAATTGAAGGCTTATGTATGAACTAGTCAAAATTATTCAGTTTAAATATTTTAATTAAGGAAAAGAAATGCCGCAATAATTATGTCATGTATCTTAAGTCAACAAATCTGTGAACTAGTGTTATGATTGTTGAAATCATTTAAGTACTTAATTAAATAATATTTAATATCGTCCTTACATAAATTATACCAAAGATAGTTTGTTCGGAATGTAAATTGTTTGTTGGATAATAAAATTATTACAAATTACAATCATTGTTTTCGATTATTTTCTACTCAACTGTTCAAAATCACTACTGTGTGTTTATTCCATAATTAATTACAAAATATTCTAAATACAATGTACGTAACTGCTAGAACTACAAAGAACATTTGTACGAAATATTGTGCAAACTGTAAAATTAGTTTCGTTGCATTTTAAAAAGGAGTTTTAATAATGGTTCTTTGGTTTTCTACTGCCGTACTAATATGATAATTATTATTATTCATTTCTATAACTAAATGAGAGAGAAAATTACAGTACTAATAGTAAAATTGAAAACGACTAAAATGTTTAGCTGAAACTACTCAAAATACTCTTTAATAATTGAATCAGGATATGTTATTACCAGTTGAAGAACTTTTTCTGTGGTAGCTACGAACAGATGATGGCACATTTCTGCTTCGAAAACTTCTAACGCGACAATGGTGGGGTCTTCGATAGTCCTGTCTAGGTCTTGCACGTGAATTATTATGTCAGGTTGAGGAGAAGTGGGATGTGCACGGGGTCTACACACTATTACCTGAAATTGGAATTAAATTATTAAATGTTAAAAAGTTACAATTACGATTATATAGTTTTTATAAACGATATCTTTTACAAGACTAATAGCCAGTTTCAATAACATTAATAAATTATATCAACTTTGCAATAATCAGGAGTTTCAAACGATTGTTTGGCAGTCTATTTTCATAGTTAAAGATGAAAATAAACATGTTACCATTTAATCTGAAACTTTTTAAAAACTCTCCAAGACTTAATCAATATGTTGAAGGAGACCGATGCAGATGACGTGCCTGACTTCGTAGCGAAGGAGCAAGTAAACTGCCCCCTGTCACCTTCGATCATGTTGATGTAACGAGACTGGTAAAGGACATTACATCACTGAAAGGTAAGATGACCAAGATACAGTCCTGAATGGAGACGTCAGACAATATCATTACTGAACTACGTGTTGAAAGTACACCATTGCGCAACACAGGTTCAGTAATTAGGTCACATGAGGCCTCAAAGGTGAGCACACGTCGTGGAGTGCAGAATGCCACAATCGGCAGTTTTGAGTCTGCGAATACAAGTGTGTTGTCAACTGCCAAAACCGCTGACGAAGCATCGCTTGCCGTCGCCGTCACACACACCTCTGCACCGGCTGCGGTAACGATACACGTGGGTACGACGACCCCTGCACGTGTTTACGTAGATATTGTCGTCAAGAAAACTACTGCATTGCATACGAAGCGGCCAACTGAAGAAGGGATTAAGCAGAAGTGCTATTAGCCCGCACAGCTGAAGGAGCAAGTCGACAGGGATGGCTTTATCAGTGTTCAGAGGTAGAAAAAGAAGTCATCCCAAAATAAGTGCACCACTGCACCGACCGGGCAGAAACATCTGCTGCGTTTAAACTGCATTACTCTACAAAGGTCGAGGAGATTGTAGAGTATATACAGATCAAAACGAACTATAAGGGTTTTGAAATTCGAATCCCGCCACAGCATAAATTCCATTTTATTTGTGGTGAGAGCGAGTTCCTAAGATTCACCGAAATTCATGACACTGTAGTTATGGCCAAAAGGTGTTGTTTTCCGGCGATTCCACGGATACCAGACACCGTGCAGCACACCACGCTGACACTGCACAATAGTCTTGATAATGATTAGTACTGTAGTTTTTATTACTTCCATATATATTTATAATATTTTAATTTATTGTTGTAGTAGATATAGTATAATTGTATTTTAATATGGGCCATCGTTGCTTGATACAAATAAATAAAGCAGGTACGTAGGCTTGCGGTAATTTATAGTAAAAATAAGCAAAGCAAGTTTCGACTACTGTGAGTCAGGTAACTCTGCGTAGTAGACATTTTTTACAGTTACATTTTATGTTGAATATTTTAATGTACATTATATACGGTGTGTTTCTAAATCAACTTGTGGCACTCGTGTTTACATAGACGCGCACGGTATGGCGCGATGCCAAATATTTTATTTCTTTTAGTTTATTTATAGGTAGGTATAATAATTCTATTATTGTTTGTATAGTTGCTTTTCTACTACATAACGACAGTTCGTAGTCGCATGTTAGCATTTTTTGTCTACAATTTTTTATGGCAGACGTTACGCCCACAATATTTTTTTGTATCCCTCTTAGAACAGTAAATTACTACTTCTACTTCTTTGTCTTCTCTGTCTAATTTTAAATGAGCAAATAATTTTATTAAGTATATAAAAAATGTTCCCAAACACATGAAATCATCAAACCCAGATCCAGAACATCGATTAGTAGATCACAGAAATAAATTGGTCCGTGTAGGAATCAAACCTGTAATAGGTACGTAGCACAGGAGCCAGTCGCTAAGCCACTAGAACATGCAGTAAGTAACGTAAACTGATAAGTAAGTAAGGTAAAGAGTAATGATACGAACCGTCCCATCTTCAAAACCAAGGAACAGGACCTCGCCATGTGGCGTGGCGCACGTCATCTCGGAACATTCCAAACGCATCTGGTCAAGTTTAGTATTGTGATAAGCCGTTATTCTCGGAATCCTTTTGGGCACTGAAAATAAGAATACATTCATAGATTCTATTTTAATTCCTTAGATAACACAGCTTACTCATGTTGCTTGGGAGACCCACTTCTGTTATCGCACATACTGCTCAAGACTTATAAGTCCATATTTTGACTTGAAAGGCTCGAATTATCGAGGAAAATGCTCGACTACTGAACTTACGTAACTAATGTTACTAATGTTACGTAAGTTCAGTAAGTCATGTTATCTAATTACTTAGAATACATTAAACAAAATATTATTGCAACGGTAATATTCAATCAACATTTGAAATGAAAAACATTGAGATTTGGGAGGTAAAGTGCACTCAGTTCAGATAAACCAGAAAATTCAAATACCTTACCTGGCATTGCAACATCAGCCTCATTGAACAATGCCCAGCCGGAGTTCATTGAAGGAAGTTGTACCGAACTACTTATGTCGGATATTTTGCTAAACTTTACGAAATTGGCATCTTCGCGCCACATAGATCCAAGCTCTGTTGCCATTGTAACCCTATTGTCATGTATATTTAAAGCACATATTTTCTTGCCGACATCTCCGTAGTAACGACCTCTCATCTTAAGACTCCACTGTTTTCTATCCCATATTAGGGCCCACACTACATTACGGTCGGTTACCATGTAGCATATGTCGTCTTCTAAACTGTAACAATATAAGTATATAGTTATACTTTATTTTTTACAACGAGTTATTATTCTTACCGACGTCGCACGGGTGCCTAAAACTACCGACATTTATGTTATTTTTTACATGGAATGTTATTAGTACCGAAGTTTTTTTCAAATGATAGAGAGAGAATTCAGCTGTGTGGGAAGAGAATAAATTTCTGAAATCCGTTTGTTAATTGAACACCAGCTTTCCGCCTATAACTTATCCACTTAGAATTTAGAAATTTTCTCTGGAGTCTCAACTCTGCAGGAATCTCGGGGTCAAGTAATTTACTATTAAAAATTACTTCCAGTAATAAAGACTTTTTAAATAGGTTCAGTATTTCCTGGGTGTATTCAATGTAAACAATTAAATCTTCTCTCCATAATATTATTAACACAAACTTACCCATACACTTGAATATTCCTCATAACATACAAGTCATTTTCCTTGGTGGTATCATATATCGTGCTATCTGGCTCTGGTTTTCCATACAGATATATATCGCCTAACAAATTGTCGTTCTCTAAAGTTATAACAACCATGTGATCATTCTCTACATAATCGGCCTCACCTGAAATTTTAACAGAAAGTAAAGTATGTAGGTGGAGTGACAAAACACCCTGTTTTTGACGTGAATAATTCCCGTATCGAAGACAATCTATCTTTCTATATGATTCGATTGCTCAGTCAACGTAAGCGTAAGGTACATCTTCTTGTCGTCTTTTGGTAAAAGTATTTCCAATATCCATACCATTATGACATCTCTGTGTCCGATTAGAGTAAATGGTTATAAAAAGGAGACTAATAAATAGGTCGAAATAAATATAAAGCGGTTCGAGAAAAGGTAGAATGTCCTTGTAGAATAGCTGGAGCGGTGCTGCGCTGTAAGTAGTCATCTGTTTAGTTCTATGACAGTTAACAGACGCCGTTGTCCTGTCCTACATTTCAGAGACCACAAAATATCACAATACGAGTGTAAGGGAGACAAAAAAGCACAGTTATGTTACTAGTTAAATATATATCATTATTTTTGTAGCTACGAAACTCACAGTCATATTATCGTGTTCTCTTCTCTGAGCTATTAGCTACAGGTTACCTACATATCTAATGGTATCAAGATCGTTACAGGTAGTTTAGGCTTGACAAAGTTAGTCAACGCATAAAAAGATTGACCATATAATAGATCGATAGAAATAGTCACTTGCGTATTTATTTTAATATTCTGTAGGTACCTAAGGTTTGGGTGAACTTGGGTGGGTAGTATACTATAGCATAGTACCCCAAACTAAAATCTTGTCGCGGAGAGCCTAACGGGTTACCGGGGCTCTGGCTCGAAGTGCAGCAGTAGGAACGGGGAGGTTTTTAGTCAGTAAGAGTCTGACACTCCTTTCCGCCTCACCCAGGCGGGAGAAGTCATTCGATGATTTTCCCCCTTAAAACTAAAATCTTACCTGTGCTTAAATGTGATTTGATCTTTTTTGTACTTTTAACATCGAAGTATGTTACTTCTGCATCAGTCTTTAAAATCAGCCTGTCTGAAATTTAAAAACAAAATGAAGTCTGGGTCGATTTGATATTTCCTGCATGTAATTGTATTCTTATTAGATAGGTATGATAGGTTGGCAAGTTGTAGTTAGGTACACACACACGGAATATGGAATACAAAGTAGCTTTAAGACGTAAAAAAGATCGCACGAAATTATCTACTCAGTAAGTTCATAAAATTATGTTACATTATATTTGAGAAAGCAAAGCCTACGGTTTGCTTCTTTATGTACCTATGTAACTTCGTAGCGGGCACGAACAAGGCAATTTGTCGCGGTAGTGAACTAGTGCTAAGTTCGCGAATTGTGTAATTTATTTTTCATTATTTTATGGTTATTGCCCAGATTTATTTTTACCATATCTACGTTCAAGAAACTTGATGTAAGCTAAGAATAAGGGAAGGAACTAGTGTTGATAGTTATTTATATGAGACGAGAAAATACACAATGCGCGATTCCCCGTCACGGACATTTAACTAGTGCCGGGTATTAAACTAGTTAACTAGGTAGGGTACCTACTAATTTTGCGCTCAATACCAACTTAAAAACACCTCAATGTACCTAAATTGATGCACAATTTTTACGTAGCAATGCGTAACATTAACAAACAGCCTGTATTCCTTCAATTAGTTTTTTTTTACATTACCTACCTTTATAAATATACATGTGCGTAACATCCTCTACTTCATAAACGTGATGAAGTGCTACTTTTGCAAGGCCTCCAAAATTCCAAAGCATTGAGTTAAACACTAATTTTTTTGGATCAAGATTCGTTTTTCTCTGGAATGAGCATCCTCTGTTAACCAATGCCCCTGTTACGATTTTTGGCCATAAACGCTGACACTGTAAAATATTATAAAACGAAATCTTATTATTATTGTTTGTAAAGAAGCCATCACTTACAAATTAGAACGGAATAAAAGCAATGGCGAAATATGAGATTTTGGGTTGGGAATTTATACGAATTCTTTTTGCGTAAGCAGAAACCTATATACCTACGTATAATATGAACCTAATACGACATAAACAGGTATAATAAGAAGTAGGTAGGTACCTAAGAACCCAATTTCAACCTGGCGAATTCCGTAAGCATTGCAATTTGGGGGTTATTCCCGAAATTCACATGTTTGGGGACATTATTACAAAAAGTATCTTCCAAAAATCAAAAAGTATCCAACTATTGTTGGCGTACCATAATGTAGATAATCGAAGGTAGAATAATAATGCAAGACCTAATAATATTTTTTTTTAAGTATTAATATGATCTAATCACGCAAATCTCCGCCAGCTTCGTAAGAGATTAGGTGCAACTTCTTTAGTTTGTCCATAATTAAAATTATATAATCAGAGTAGATTTATAATAATGATACACGAATAAACAATGTTGTTAATCATTACAGTGTAGGTACATATAATAATTTGGTCTGTAGGTAGGTATAAAACGACACGAAAAGATGAGCCAGTAGGTTAGCTGCGGCACCCATCTTTGGTTTCAAACCAAACAAATATAAAAAATCCTAACTTTATTATAGAACAGTAAATGAAGGATAAAAATTACCTCAATAAAATCAATAACAAGATTTTTCCATCTTTGGTTTACAGTCATACAAGTTAACAAAGATTTAAGATCACTCTTTACATATTTGAAGAACAACCATAGTAATTCTTGGGGACAATATTCCCAGCAGCTCGGTGGTACATTTTCTGCAGTATCAGATGACATCAAGGATTTTATAACTTATGTTTTTGAGAAAAATAATCAAGTGGTTTTGTTTACCAAGAACAATAACTATAATAACCAAGTCACCGAACCGAAACTCAAATCTGACTTATTGAGTTATTGAACTGACAGTGACAGTGACAGCCACAGACAAAATGAGATGACCACAGCCAAAATAAGGTCAGTCGCGTCCCCCTGTACGAATAACTTCAACGTGTAGAATGATCAATGAATCCGATTGAAATTCTGCCTTTCGCTGGCATGAAACTCTGTCAACGTCAAACTGTCAAATATAACTTGACAAAGACAATCTTGACATTTGTTAAATGAAAGAAACGAAGTGCTTGAGGTTATAAAATGTTGTGTTTATCTCTTCTGATTGTAAATTAATAGATTTTTAAATATAAATCATTGTCAGTTTAGTATATTAAGAGTGTAGCTTCTAAGAAATAAACAATTTTTGACATCCAACAAAAATGGTAAGTGATTATAAAAGCAAATAGTTCTTAAAACATTTTTTCCAATTTCACCTGTTGTTGGCAAACAACGCCAAATTCCAGTTATATCTCAAAAATTTATCGTTTACTAACACAAATTTTGTTTTTCATTCAGGCTCGCAATGCAGAGAAAGCTATGTACGTATAACTTTTACCTTTATATTATAGTTGTTTCAATAAGAATCATCTTAACCGAAAAACAATGGCTAAAGTATGATGTTCGTATTTCAGGACTACTCTCGCCCGGTGGCGGGCTGCACAAGTACAAGAAGCAGGAGGACAACGAGAGCGAAGACCATATCTCGCGTCAGAGTGCACAGATTTACCACAAGCAGAAAAATGGAGACTGCAGATTGTTAGGGAAATTGCCAAAAAAGTTGCCCAGATACAGAATGGTAAGTATTAAGTTAAGAATGGTAATTTATTTTATTTTAAACTGGCTAAGCAAACATACATCCAAATCCAATCCAATTGGTACTATTTTAAGAGTGTTGTAAGAGACTCTCACTGTTGGCACAGTGGTTGGGTGACCCGCTGCTGTGCAACATGTAGCGGGTTTGATTACCGCACCGGTCAAAAGCCCGGAGTCAGGAAGTTCAGCATTGTTTCACTCCCACGCCTCGGAAAGCACGTAAAGCCAGTGGTCTTGCTCCTGACCTTTCTCCAGTTTTGTCGATCCGCCATCCCCTCGCATTTAGAGAGTGATGGGACAGAGTGCGCCTGAGTTTACATAAACACTTGTGCACTATATTATCTAATGCATACTAGGCTAGTCTAGTTAGACTTCCCATCATGATTGAAGTCAATTGGGATAGTTCCATTACTAGTCTCTCAGCACCACTCTGCAATAAACACAAACATTTTAAATTACGATGTTCAACCCACTTACCAAGTATGGCGATTATGGCAAACCTTTTTGTAAAGTGAGGCTAAGTCAAAGTCAAAGTCAAAATCATTTATTTCAATTAGACCAGGACCAGCTACAGTCCAGCAATAGACTAACAGGCTATTAATGATGGTGAAGCAAGCACATTTACTGCTATAAAGCCATCCATGGTATTATCTAAAAGATGATGGAGTAGGCAAACAATTGCAGTACAATGTGTTGTGGATTCCCACACAGAACCAATCTTCTTTTCATATGATCCGTAAATAAATTGTTCTCAAAGTGAATGTTATATGCAGTAAGTAGTTCTGGGCCTTGGTTTGATTACTTGATATAAATACAAACTTAAAATAACTGCAGCCTCAATATAAGCGAAAATCCAGGACTAAAAAGGCCAATGATGCATTACTTCCTTTTAGGGCCTGTTTTAGAATGTCGGATACCTACTATGTACTAGATAGAACATAGGACATGATTGATGAAAACTGAACTATCTGTCACAAGTCTGTTGCGAACTTCTAAGAAGTCGGTGAAACAGGCCCCAAAATGTTGATGGTATAAGTTTTATATAAACATACTTTGACTTTTTAATTTAGTAAAGCTTTCCATATCACATTCATAAAGAGATAAAGATCATTTTGTAGATAAAGAGATTAGACACCGAACAAAATTATTCATTAAAACCTTAGTAGGTATCTAATATTAACTTGTTTATTTACCTGTTTACAATTTTGTTACTATTAAGTTAAATCATTTTAATATAAGCTTATGCACCGACTTCTAACCTACCAGTGATTCGGTAACCTATCAGTACTAATAATATTTATTGTTTGCTTTTTAGTTTTCAGTTTTGGGTTTTATGAAATCAGTTTTTTAAAATGCAGTTTTTATTTTATGTTTTTGAGTATAAAGCTACATATACCCGTTTTGCCACTTATAATCAACATAGGTTACTATAATTTGTATTGATTACAACTACTAAGTTCTAGGCAATACAAATAATACATATGTAGCCCAAACACAAGGGAGTTACTGTAAACGGTTGAAGAGTTCTTTTAACAATTATATTTCTTCATCATCAGACCCTTAATGAACCACAAACTTTGACAGATCCACTCCATCAAGGTGTAAAGTTCTCATCAATACAAATATAATCAGCCCCAAACACAAGGTAGTTACTGTCCTTACTGTATACCATTGTGGAGTTCCCTTAACAATTACACTTCTTCAGCCATAACAAAAGGTAGTTACTTTAAACCGTTGAGGAGTTCCGTCGACTGCCTGTCGGCTCCATCATCAGATCCTGACCCGATGAAAATGGGATCCTCTCGGGTGGACAACCTTTCAAACAAAACAAGAATTTTGGAAATCGGTTCATAAATGGCGGAGTAATCGGTGAACAAACAAAAAAATCAATCATCCGAACATACCTCCTCCTTTTTTGAAGTCGGTAAAAAGTAAAAACTACAACTGGCATAGAAGCAATATATTATTACGATCATTTAATTGGTGACTGTTTTTTGAAATATTAACCCAAATCTGTAAGGCTATGATTATCTCACTATGGCACCAATAATATAAAATGTGATTTTTTTCAATACAATGTTGTTTTAATTCATAACATTTCAATCAAATTGAAATGGATGATGCCGAGGCAACATCAGAACAATTTTCAACACAAGAACCTAATATAAATTTGGAAGTTTATCCGGCCGTAGAAGTTCCCTTGCCAGTCATACCTTTACCGCTTATTGCACCGTCACCACAGTTGTCTGTCGCAAAGTCTCCGCAACCGTCTGCTACGAAGACAAGTTCCCTGCGCAGTGCAACGCCCTCGGCGCAGTCCGCCCCTCTATCTTTACTACCCATCAGTTCCGTACAAGGCGCCACACCTACCAACACTTTGAATACTAATGTTTTTGTACTAGACCCAGCAAAAATACTAGCGCCAAAGAACAACAGTGAGAAATTGGAACTAGATTCACTGAATCAAAAAAGCTCAAAAGAAAAATCTCTGATAGAGGACATATTCGAACTGGACCAAAAATCCACAAAAGAAGAAAAACCCCAGAAAGGAAGCACCACGACATTCGAACTGGAACCAAAAGACACAAAAAAGAAGTCTCTGAGAAAGAACAACAATAGTATAAGCGAACTAAACTCAAAAAAACAGCCTACGAAGAAAAGTTTTCCCTCAGCAATAATGCCTAAGGACAAGATTTCAAGAACACCAAGTTTGCGTCATGGCAGCCCAGATAGTAAATCAATCACCGAAAAGTTTAACGAACTAAAAGAAACTGTCCAAGATCTTGCAAGTGATATCGTGGATTCTAAATCAAATAAGTTAACTACTAATATTGACAAGATAGCATGTATGAGCAAAGCACTGACAAACGAAGCTAATGCTTTGAGACAATCCATAAAGTGTTTGACCGAAGATATCGAACGCACCAAGCAAGAACTGTGCTGTTGTACTAAGGACGAAGATGTTAATTTTCCATATCACTTATTTCTCATTGAAATGATAGTAAACAAAATTCATATGAAATGTGAATGTTTCGAGATAGATTACAATAATTTGGTTATATCAGCCATATTTTTGGGAAAACCACCCATTGTATTATATGACTCGTCTTTTGGCAAAATTGAGAATTTTAGTAAATTAAATGTTGGCAAATCGACCATGTTTGCCATGACTTACGATAAAATATGCAATATTAAAGAATTCGAAATAGATTTGCTTTTGACAAAGCAGCCCCCGTGTTCTACATGTGTGACGAGGATAGCTGAAACTCATATGGACTTTACATGCGAATTTAACCAATTAAGAGAAGAACTTTGTAAGAAATGGACGATGGAACAGCCCCAAGACAATATCTTGTGCACCACTTCTACGCCACTTTCTAAGAACATGTACTACTTGTCATGCTGTGATGGTGAAAATAGAGACTCTATAGGAGTTATTGAAGTAACAGTTAGAATGTCCTTCTTGGGCAAAGAGATAACGACGGCTTTTTGTGCATCACCGAAACCACAAGAGGCGTCTGTCCTTCTCAAAGAAGACCACGGCATGACCATGTATTCTTGTCATAAGGTTGAAATGAATGATCAGGGTAAAATACTACTTGATGAAGGAGTGATGACGAAAAAAGCAACAACATGTTGCTCCGATCTACACAGACGATCAGAAAGTCCGCAATCGCAAATATCTAGCGCTCTCTCTAGACGGTGTTATGAACCAGCTCCTGTGCCTTACAACGAGAATGGTAAGTTGTATCCGTCCTGTACAGTGTACTGCTATAAATGTCAGTTGCCTAAAAAATTTAAATAATAATGTTTTCTAGATCGAGCGCCAAAATATGATGAAATATATACCAAAATGAATGTCAATGAATTAAGGATCAGAGTTCCAAAGACCAGTAAGGTAGAAAGAATGGGGAAATATGATAAGATTCAAGAATTATGCTCATGTGACAGTACATACAATACTGGAGAACAAATACAATTCGAATTGCCAAAAGACGTTGCGTATCCCGAAAAGACTTATACGTCAAACTTGAAGTATACATTGAAAGGACCAGAGAGACCGCCTGATAGGAAAGACAAGAAAATTATCAATGTAACACCCAGCAGTTGCCCTATTCCTGTCAATATGCAGAAAGTCTTGCATCCACAGAAAGATGTGTTCATTTTAAAAATTGGTAAGAAATTGGAAACAAAGGATAAAAAAACTGACCTTGAAATAGAACTGATAACACCAAAAGGTCCTTGTGACAACAAACCTTTAGAAAGCAGCAATACTGGGCAACAATGCAGTCCTAGCGACATTACAAAAACGAATCCAAAGAAACGCAAAGGCAAAAATAAGAAAGCAAAAGGAGGCAAAGGAAAGAAAGGCAAAAAAGGAAAAAAGAAATAACATACACATAACATTTATCTGCGTACATACAGCTTTTATCTTTCACAAACTGATCTTAAGAATGTTTTTATATTAAACTTTTCAATACAAACCTTTTGAGTCATTATTTGTAGTAGTTGCTCTTTACATGAAAAAGAGATATATACACAATATACACCAATCTCAAATATAAACTTCACAATGCAATAAATACACTAATATTACAAAATATAAATCACTCTTGTATATATTTAACTCGTCGAGTACCGGTTTTATAGACACAATTAAAGAACAATGGGTCGCGGTCACCGGTGACCGCTTGGTGTTTGACAGATTAAATGATTAAATAGGCAGATATGATTTCTCATAATTATAAATATTTCTAAAAATATTACGATACAGATTTTTGTATGTAGATTCTGTTTATCTCACGGTAAACTCATGGTTAAGACGACCGTGAGTTTATTGGCTTATGGCTCCACACTAGTATTTTCTTTGTGTTGGGTATCCTTACTATAATATTATAAATCGGAAAGTGAGTTTGTTTGTTCCGACTTCACGCCGTAACTACTAAACCGATTGCATTGAATTTTTGCAGACGTAAAGTTAGTAGTCTTTTTTTTTTAACCCCAAGGTGGGAAATCCTCATGGAGCCCCCTTCGCCTGGGGAGGACGAAAGGGACTGTCAGACTCTTACTGACTAAAACCCACCCCGGTGTCCCGTCTCACACGTGGGTACGAGGGTGCGGGAGTCACATTCATCCGCAACCCCCGAACTCGTGGCGGCCTGCCTTGCCAGGCCCCACCTCAAGATGCACGGAGAAGTGAGGTGTTGGTCTTCTCCGTGCAACGTCTCGGAGGCTCGCGTGGACACAACGCGCGCCACCGTCTCGGGTCCTTTACAACGGGATGACGGGGACTTCCCCAAGTCCACCGTCCCCGGACCCAATTAGGGGGGTCGAAAGAGAGTAATTTCTGCTCTCCTTCGACGCCCGGTGCGCCTACTGCGGGAAGGTAAAGACATTGCAATTTCCCTTTCCCTCTCCGCAGCCTCCTTCCGCGACATTACATCTTCGCAGAAGGACACCACTGCATCCCACGACTCTGCACTGCCGACCATTTTTTGGACAACAGTCGACTATGACAGATCGTCACCGATCTCTAATATGAGGGCACGACGCGGCTCATCCCAAGCCACGCACTCCATGAGGGTGTGCTGCGCCGTATCCTCCTCACAATGGACGCAGCAATGGCACCGAGCGTTTGGCCCCCATGCCTATGCGACACAGGAACTTTCCGAAACACCCATGCCCCGAAAGCACCTGCGTCACTTGAAACGACAGGGTGCCATGCTTTCTCCCGAGCCAGTCGTCGAGTACTGACCGGACCACCTCGATGAGGTTGAATCCAGCGGTAGCGCGTTGAAGCCTCTCCCGCCATTCCGCCACTAAGACCTGACGAAGCTCCAAAGTTAGTCGTCTGCATTAAATAATAGGGTACTTTTTATCCCGAAAAAATTGATATTCCCGAGGGAAAATAAAAGTATTGGTATAGATGGCGCTGTATGTATGGTATATGTCACATAGGCTACTTTTCATCCTTTTGTGACGCGAGCGAAGCCGCGGGTAAAAGCTAGTCAAAAATAAATATAACCCAGACCTGGAACAATTTGTGAATCACACAAACAATTATTCCGTGTGAAATTCGAACTTGCGGTGTCATGCTCGGTAATGCAATATATAGTGTAGATTAAATAATTATCGATTTTTTACTAAAACAATTTTCCGTTCTAGCCGGTCTTGGTGAGTTTCGGATACGAGACTTGAATGATGAGATCAACAAGCTCATGCGAGAGAAACGTCACTGGGAAGTTCAAATAAAGTCGTTGGGCGGGCCAGACCATGCTCGCGTTGGACCAAAAATGCTTGACCAAGACGGTAAAGAGGTACCCGGCAACCGAGGCTACAAGTACTTCGGAGCCGCTAAAGATCTACCAGGTTTGTGTTACGCTATTATTTTGTAGTATCCAATTACTCTCTTTGGCCTTTTTCTTTCGTGTTACTTACTTGGTTTCCATATTTTATGTGCACCTTTGCCGACCCCATCAGGAAAAGACATAATAAATATGGTATGGTTTCACCAGCGAGCCCTAATCCATCTTTAAGTAAGTTACTTAGCCGCTAAGTCTTAGCGTAAGGGAGCACCTAAACTAATCCCTTTCTTGTACTGTTAGGTGTCGCTTATGGGTTGGTCTAAACCAAAATGTAGTTAAGTGTCACCTATCCTTAGCTTCCTTAAAATTGAGTAGTGGTTGGTGAAAACTGGCAATAATGTTATGTTTATGCAAGTACTGTGCTTGATGTTTCTATCTACAATTACTAGGTGTACGTGAGCTGTTCGAACAAGAGCCCCCTCCGCCACCGAGACGAACGCGCGCGGACCTCATGAGAGACGTGGACGCCGACTACTATGGATACAGAGACGACGACGACGGTCTCTTGATGCCACTCGAGCAGGAAGCTGAGAAAGAAGGTCAGTCAATAAAATCTTATTAATTTTATAAATGCAAAGTTTGTGATGTATGTGTGTATGTGTTGTGTTGGTTACTCTCACGAAAATACTATTGGACAGATTTATGTGTACGGAAAGTCTGGAACAACACATCACATCACAGAGATAATTCTATTTCGGGAACACGGGCGAAGCTCCCTGGCGGAAACTAGTATCATAAGTTACAAGTCAGCAATACAATAAGTATTTTATAGCAGCCAGTAACTAGAAGGCAATAATCCATTTTAACCTTATTTTTAACAGCCATAGCAAGGGCAGTGGATGAGTGGAAGAGAAATAAAGAGGAAAATAAAGATCAGGATTTGCCCGAGGAAGAAAACATTTATCCAGAAGATGTGAGTCATTTTATATAAATTTTAATAAAATAAATATTCGCCTATCCAGAAATTGTATAAAATATGATGAATTATTAGATTAAATTGACAACTGTTTATAATGTTGACTTGTAATTCTTTGTTATAGCCGGACGACAAGAGAATAGAAGAAGAAGATGAGAATGGCGAGCCAGTCCGTCAAGTAGTGACGTCACATGTAGCAGTGCCATCACAGAAGGATATAGAAGAAGCGTTATTGCGGCGGAAAAAACAAGAGCTGTTGGAGAAGTATGGCTGTATGGATATCAAACTGGAACAAAGCTGACCAGCTCTTAGATAGTATCATAATAAATAAGTTTTTTTTTTCAAACACGTCTTTTATTAACTGTAACTAAAGCTACGACGTATAAGTAGTGGTAACAAATCACAATGAGGCATTGTAGAGAAAGAAACAAAAAATAATAATTTTCAAATTACTTTATTTTTCAGAACAGATTTGTTATTTAGACATAGGTACGTTCATCTAAGCAAAATATACAAGATATTGGTGACATGTACGTCTATTTACTGGCTCTACACCATATTGCAGTAACAACAAAGACTGTTATATAGGCCTAACTACATAATTACAAAAATGGAGACTCCCAAACGAACTATTGCATGGTATTTCAAAATCCGATGAACCATAGCCTCATACTAGTTCAAAATACTGATTCAAATCATTCATAAGAGTAGTCTAGATATAGTATAAGATTCATTTTAATCAACAACTATTTTTACGATAATGGTCACCCGACTACACTTATTTCAATAGGAATGTATAAACTTAACTTTACCGTAAGCTCTCAGAGAACTAATTAATTAACATCTAACACCAAATCCTGAAACCTAAGGGAAAAATAAAACATCTCGCTACCATCGACAATATTCAATGTAACAGCGACCCATGTTGCATTGATAAAATTGCGCGAATTTCCATTGCTTTGTCTTAGTGATCGGTTTCATAAGAATTGTATTTATGCGACTAACAATAGTAAAACAAGTACAGGAGTTCGGCGTAATATACATAACATAATATTTCATAAATAAAGATTTATCTTATTATCTGTATCGTTTAAAACGGTTTTTCTCCCGAACATATTAATGTCCTAATTCACAGATAAATTCAATATCAATAATATATAGTAATAGTAACATAACGAAGCGAAGTCGTAAAGAAGCTGTATTTCTACACTCCACACAGATAGACAGCACATTATTAATATAGTTTATAACTTCGAGTTAAAGAATAATTTTCTTAACGACAATAAACCATAACTTTGATTTTCTTTTCATACATTAAGTTCTCATGATATTTAATATCTAAAATACATTTTGTTCTATATTATGTACGTGAGTGTACTAAAATACAACATTTAACACTATTAAGTATCGCCCACAAATTATGGTAATAATGAATGAGTCTAAAACATAAAATAACATTTATATTCATCGACATATGATTCGTATTTCGACAGAACTAAATAAACTTATATACTTTATCTATTGAACTATGGAATAATGTACAATTCGCTATCTTAAGATCGGACTGCTTTATTTCTGGAGTAAGTAAAATGTTGGTTGCTTTGTAATGGCACTTCTATATAATAATCTCTTGAACTTGACCATATTTATTGCACAGTATAATTTTATAACAACACAAAAAAATGCAATCGGAAGACATGACTTCATAGAAATAATTTAATTACGTAATGAAAAATTTTAAGCTATACTTTCCTGGGTATATGTGTATTTGTTTCTGTCAAAACGTCTTGTATGTATACTTTGACAGTCACGCGACAGTAGCAATTATCAGCCATACAATTATAATGGTTATTTACCTCGGAACAGGCTTCATGACTAGCAGAATCCATTGCCAAATATTTTATCTAGTGTATTATAAGAGTGCAGTGTACTTCTCGTGGTAGTATTGGAAGTTGAAATTATCAAAAATATATCTTTTACAACAATGTATCTGTAGATACTCTTTCAAATTGGCTGTCAAGAAGTAAACTCGTTTTCTAATGAAATGCGACATTCTAGGAATCTACTAAAAAGCTTGCATTAAATTGGGGCTACATCCAAACATCAATGTAATATTATCCACAAAGTCAACACTTGATTTAATAAACTATTAATGAATTTATCACAATTCTAATTTACACTTAGCGATATAAACAATATCGGTAAGACATTCGCGTAAAGCGTTCTTATACTTCAAACTTGCTTTCTGAATACACGCCATTAGCAAGGTCTAACTAAATAAACATATATTTTATTAATATACTGAATTAGTCTCCTATGTACACGAGTAGTGAACAGATGGAGTACTAGTTCAGAGCTCTTGAATGAACACACCTCACACATGCTTGATTACATTTACAAACACGTGTTTGAGATCTCCATTACGACTAAATACTCCGTGTTTATAATGGTGTAAGCTGCACTAACATTTAAGACTGGAACAAGTTCTGTTGTTTGGCGTCATTTTCGAAATCACTCCAAGCATTATTCAGTTCCATGAAGATCATTTTCGCTATGTTCTCATTTGGTGTACCCATTTGCTGTAAACAAAATTTAATTACACGTCAAACCATTGATTGGACTGAATAAATAAAATATTATTTTTTGTTGTGTATAGACGACAACAATAGCTTAATGTAAATTAGTATTATTTTGGTCCTTTATACTTTAAAATAAAGTTGAAAATCGATAGAATATTTTATTACGATTACCTTATCAGGGTGTACAGCGAGACATGCTTTCCTATAGTTTCGCTTGACGTCTGCGGGAGTGACGAGCTGCGACATGTCGCACCGCGTCCAGCGACAATCTTCCCACACCACGGTGTGCAGGGAACATAGCAAAGCTCGGATGTTCGCCTTCTTGCCCTCCGTCTGTGGAATATATATAGAATTTTAAATCATCATCAATAACTAGTGCCAAAATCCCATTACACAAGAATAATTTCCAAGCCCTTTGGGAATAGCAGTTATTTCGAATTAGGAGGACTGAGCTCCCCGTTCCTCGGCAGTTGATCGCTTTAGGATGTGCCGGGCACACAGTATACGAGCCCATTTCTCATTACATTTACAAACCTTTAGGCTTGTTTTACAACTTGCTAAATTATCTGTCGGCAATGGAAACTTACCCATTCGTGTATTTTCAATTTCTCTGGGTCCATATCCTTAACCATTTCCTCTTTTCTCATGGCGTTCATTGTCTTAGGGCCGGTGTCTCTCTTGGACGCAAAGTCATATCCTTGACTACCCAACAAATCGCCGAATACGTCCATTGGTTTCCGTTGTTTGTCGTCACCAGGCGTTTTGGCTGGCTCGAAGTGTGCTCTACTGCAAAATACAGATTGTGGGATTAAATGTAGTCTTAACAGACGCGTCGCACTTTTACATGGCAGTATAAAAGATGCTATTCAGTTATTTAAAAAAGAAACTAGCATCGTCGTCTCTCTTGTCCTTTACATAAAGTAAAATGTGATAACCCCGCTAGATTATTATGTGATGAATCTTAATAGAACCATTTCCAAAATATTTCAAAGAAAAACTGGCGTATATAGTCACTTATACTTCTGATGAGCACAAACTCTGTGAAGTGTACATAGTGGTGATACAACGTACTTGTAGTCCGGTTGGTGCGCGGGCGTGTGCGGCAGGTGCGCGGGCGTGTGCGCGGGCGAGGCGCGCGGCGTGGGCCCGCGGCTGGCCGCCGCCGACACCGGCGCCGCCGGCAGCCCGCCGCCCAGCACGCCTAGCTCTGCAAACGGATCCTTACGCTGCCCAGCTGTACTTGGCTGAGCTTTCTCCAACGGTACGCTTTGAGGACGACCTGGAATAAAGCACGGAAACCGTCATCAATAGTCTGATGGAAATTGGAAGCCATCCATTACGGAATTAAGCTGTCTCTTTCAAGTGGAGATTTATTTTTATTATTTGCATTGAACCGGTTTTGACCACATCGCCTGGCGGTAAGCAATGATGTAGCCCACGAAAGAGCACGTCTGAATTTTAGCACATCCCCAGGAGGAACTTTCTATTAAAGACTTAACATTATGTTCCTCCAGTCACCATCAACAATCTGACAAACTAAAATTAAAAGTAGCATATAAATCTCTATCGCATTCGCATTATATTTTTAAATACTAAACTCTAATGGAAACGCCATAGGTAGGTTAACTCGTCGAGTACCGGTTTTATAGACACAATTAAAGAATAGGTCGCGGTCACCGGTGACCGCTTGGTGTTTGACAGTTTAAAAAGGAAATTGCACTCACCTTCATCCTTAATCAGTGGCGTAAGTAGTGTCTCTATCTTCGGCAAAGGGTCGTTAAGGCCGAATGGATCGAAGTTGAGCGGATCACTAGAGTTCATGTTACCCTTCACCTCAGGTTGCTCCGTCGGAGGTGGAGCGGGCAAATCTCCGAATATAGACTCCGTTGGGAATTGCTACGACAGTAAAACGTTGTGAATGAGTGAATAACTTAAGATGATGAATACTAAACACTGATTTAGAATTTGCTTTTGATAGTTTGATCAAATTTAATGGCTTTAACGATTTATTAATTAAGATTAATTTTTGACAGAAAGTTCATAGAGCTAATGTCAAAAATAAATTTTAATAGATTACGGATTGAGATCGATCCAAAGTTTTTTTATTAAAGTCGGTTATTATTTTAGCTATTAGCTGGCATATTCGTAAATGAAAATAATAATAACTAACCTGAGCTGCCTCTCCCTTGTTTCCGCTGAGGAAATCTCCGAACCCATCATCAGTCTGCTTCTCCATCATCCCAAAGAAGTCGAAAGAGTCATCAGACTTGAGTTTCTTCTCTGGTTTCGTTTCTTGAGGTTGTGGGGTGCCGGAGTTTAAGTTTAGGAAGTCTACTGTACTGTCGGAGGGAGTGGGGTCAGGTTGGGTTTGGGTAGAGGGTGGCGGGGGCCGTTGTGGAGGCAGGGGGGAGGGGGGAGCGGGGCGGGATGGACGACTCGGACGAGTAGGGGGCTCCGGTTCCCGAGGCGGGTAGTCTGCTGTTACTGTGGGTGACACGTATTTGTTAATATTGTAAACGAAAGATAAATAGTGTTTTATGTTTGCGGATTTAGTTTACATAGATAATAAATGTCATAGTACCAAAACATTGTAGAGAATTGAGGTATAGAAAGCGACAACCATAATATCTTGACAAAGAACGCTTATGATACAAAAATAATTAATTAAATTAAATATGTATAAAATATTGTATGAATACATCAGTTTGTTAAATACATGCAAGTAAACCTGACAATAAACAAATAAAAAAAATGCTTAATTAGGTTTGCACGCTACAATGAGAAAGTGGAAAAACATTAAGAAACATAAAAATGGATCAATATACCAATAGTAGTCAAATACACGAAATGATATTAAAACAAACTAATGTTAGTATTTCAGTATCTAAAATCGTATTACATTTTGCCAGTGCAAGAATGGACTCGGTCTTTTATATTTTTTTAACTTACACACAATACAAAAAAAAAATGGTAACAATTAGGAAGTAGAACGAACTGTTAGGTCTGTTCAGCAATATATCTAGATTTATGTTACAGCTCGTGCGTGAACTAATGATGTGCTGGTTGGATGTCGACAATAATATGTCCAACTAAATGAATGATCTAAACACAACACTACAACATACTTGTTTTTGGTACTGCGGCGGGATTCTTGCGAAGATTCGCTGCATAAACAAGATTGACGTACATAGATAAATACATACGATTGGACATATAATACATAAACTAAAGTATAAAAATATGTTTCATACAAGTGTACACATATTATTATTTTACTTTTCATTCATAAATAAGATCTACTACTTTATAATCATATTGACAGCTTAGATAAGTAAAATTCGTAGCTGCATGACATCGTTCGCAGTGCACAACTCTTGATTGTGAGGCCCGGTGAAGCTCGAAATTAGTCGGGACTCCTCGAAGAGTATAAACTGATAATATAACTTAAGCCATTGGACTAGTGTACAAACTCGCATAATTAAGCTAAAACCTACAAAAATAACTAATAAAACTTACCGAAGTTGTCAATAGTCTCGTCTCTTTCGAGGGTGGTGGAGAAAAGTACGTCAGGCGTCCGTATGGGGAAGGAATGGTCTTCCTCCCAGAGATCTGAACGTGGCTTCCGTCTCTCACCGTTCTGTACTACCAGGCTTATAACCGCGGTAGTATTGTTAGAGAAGTGATCGTTTACTGGTAGAGAATCGTCTATACCGTCAATTTCAGACCTAGAGGGAAATAATTTAACTAAATTAATATTTGTATTAGATGACAAAATGAAATGTGAGTATACTTTCCTTATTACGTTTGAACCGAGATTTGAGCAGGTATTTTGTAATAATATGCATAATTCTGACATCTTGCTATCACTAGGAAATTTGGTGACAGACTGTCGTATTTCAAACTCTCATTATCAATATTATATTAGCCACATATGGAAATTATCATAAATTTTTTCATTGCTGAACATAGTCCACCCTGAGGACTTCTAGATAGGTTAGTTAGACTTGCATTCGGTCACTCCCTGCGTCTTTAATTAGCTCTGCAATTACAAACTCTACCGGACTGAAAGGACAACCAAACATTAGGTACCTATTAAACTTAATGTGATGCTGGTCCACGGCCAGGAAGCCGGTGTGGAAGTGCAGCGAGAGGACGGGCACGGCCTGCACGCGGCCCAGCTGGTGGCGCGCGTGGAACACGACCAGCGACACGTCGCCCGCCACCGACACGTCCAGCGGGAGCGACACCTGCCGACCGCGGAATGATACTACGTCAAGTTTGGCAAGACAATACTCATTTTTATTTATTGGCTTATTCAAAACGTTTACTGGACCAGGTGGAAATAGAGTTGCATCGAACACAGGATATTTTCTTTAGTAGATAGCAAAAGAAGAATGAAAATAACTATAGTCAGAATTTTAATTAGATTCCAGATTTGACAACAGCTACTGTCATTTTGTGAAATAATGATACCACATATAATAGTGTAGTGATGCACACAAAAATCGGTAAACAATCGGTATGTGTGTTTTATAATAAATGTTACAGAAAGTGACAGGATAGCGATAGCGATGACGGCGACAATTTATAAAATAACTTATTACCATGATACATCTATATGTTTTATTTGTCATGTTCCTTCATGATTATATTTTTTTATTTATTTCACACACAATTATAAAAGAAAAGTCTCAGATCGTTAATTTATCGTCAAAACTAAATTATCGGTTCAGAAATATTTAATTTCCTGATATATTTAGTTTACAAGAGTAAAATTATAAACGAGAAGAATCGATCCAGAAATATTGCATTTCCATATCGAATAATTTCGCAACGTCACTATTTAGTACTTGTCATAACGTTGCAACACTGAAATTGTCAAATCTGGAATCGAATTAAAATTCCGAGTATAACTATCAAACTGCAATATTATTAGAGGTTATCTCAGTATGTAAACGTGAGTTTTTACGTGAATAAACAGCAATTTTTAGACAAAACTGCAAAACGTTGTTTTCGCCTTATATACCTCTATATTGTTCAATAATAAATAACATAATAGATGACATTGGATATTAATCTGTCAAACACCAATCGGTCACCGGTGACCGCAACTTATTGTTCTTTAATTATATCTATAATGACGTTACTCAACGAGTTAAGCTACACTAGCGCCACAACAATAAATTAAAATCTTCAAAAAACATTGACTCACTTTTCCCTCAGCCATGGTATATAGATGCAATCTATCGTAGTCTTGTAGGGTAGACAGGAGCATTCTATCTTCATTATATATTTCTATGTAAGGTCGGCACCCGTCCCGCGCTTTAGTGAATAGTGGAACTGGTTGGATTGTCAGTGATACCAGTGACACTGGTCGGAAGTGGGGGAGAATTGGTTCAGGCCTGGAAAAAAAAAATAGATTGTTAGAAAGGATAGATCACACAGATATGTTTGTAATACTATCTAATGGCAAGACATGGAATATTCATCATCAAGAAAATAGTGTTTTTTTAAAACGTTGGCAACGTATTTGTAACTCTTTTGATGTTGCAGGAGTCTATGAACGACGCGTTTCGTGCGAATCGTTTACCATTTTTTTAAGTGGGGAAAATCATCGAATGGCTGCTCCCGCCTGGGTGAGGCGGAATGGAGTGTCAGACTCTTACTGACTAAAAACCACCCCGTTCCTTCTCCTGCACGTCAAGCCGGAGCCCCGATAGCCAGTTAGGTTTTCCGCGACATCGTTTACCATTAGGTGATCTATTTAGTCATTTACCCTCTATCTCATAAAAAATCCAATATAGTTGGCTATTTTCGTCTATAAGCTTGTTTAGTATTGCACATTAAGAATACAGATATTGATATCCATATTACTTTACTCACCTAATAATATTAGAGAGATAGTATAAGTATCGGAGCTGGCTGGGCGGTATGTTGATGGGCGTGCGTTTCACTGCGAACATCTGCAGCGCGTCCTCCGGCACCGTCACCAACTTCGCGTACAGGAGCAACCCACACACCAACATACATGACATTTGTTTACCATCCTGAAAAAAATCATAGCATATTGGTCATAAGGTCTATTTTTGTATCATCATTAATCAGATCACACCTTTTATTCTCTAAAAGGGTTACTCCCTTCTTGAGGATTCTAGACCACTGTCCAGTAACATGGACATAACAATATTTTGTACCTATTTAGATAAACAATTCCGTAACTTCAATGCCTAACCAAAAACATACTCTACCACTAAGACAATAAAAGTGACATCACGCTAACAACATACCTGACAGGTAATAACAGCGGCCTGTCGGTCATCTTTCCCCAAGTACTGGTACATATGTTGCAGTAGCGCGTAGTACGGCGCCAGTAGCGGGGCGCGGTGTGCCGGGGTGGGCCACAGAGCTCGCACCGCGTCCGTCACGGGCACGTGGCGCGGGAACGACAGTCTACAGCCGCGGCACGCGTTGTAGATGCTGTACTTGCCGCCTGGGTGACGACTCTCTAAGTACGCCTGAGAATGAAGGTGAAAATTTTATATGTATTACTGTCAACAATAGGAATTTTGATATTGTATAACAAGTTCATCTATGACCATAGTGCTTCACAATGATGTTGATATAACGTTTAGGATGTTTAAAAAAATCTACTTAAAAACCAATGTATGAACCAGTGGCACATGATTTTACAAATGTTTATTTATTTCATGAGCGATTGGCTTAATAGAGAAAATGTAAATATTGCTGTAGAATTACGTGTTTATGTAAACAATTAAGAGTGAATAATAGTCTTACCCTGACATCATCGATGTGGTTGGTTTTGTAAGCACTCTCCAAGCCCTCAGACGGGTAAGGCATCACTATAATACGACTAGTTATGTAACTTATATCCAAATCTGTTCTAGCTATTGACCTGAAACAAAAATACGTCAGTTATTTACAAATATAGCAATAGGAAAAGACGAACAGAGATGTTTATAGTACTTGACTGATTTTAGAAACAACAACATATTTGTACTGTCACTACATTACATACATTCCTTAAAGAACAACTGTGTCGGTATATAATAACAAATAACATCACAATACTCACTGTTGCACAGTTTGCATAACCTTGGAAGAAGTATCCTTCAAATTCTTTAGGAAGCTGCCAGCGCCCCCTTTTATAGAGGAGAATAGGCCTCCAGAGTTAGCAGGCGTCGCCGGTAAAGGAGGCTGGTAATGAGGGGCCGCTGGGGGCCGAGCGGGCGGTGGGGGCCGGCTCGGCTCTGGGGGCCGGGAGTTAGGCGCCTCCTGGCTGTTTGCCACAGGATCTTTGCCAGCTAAAAGTAAAAGAGACAGTGTTAATACACATTCTACTCGTGATCCTTATTCGTGTTGTGAGCGCGTTTATTATTACTTGTAACAAAATTATAGCATTGACTTTTTTTGGTTTTAAGCTTGTATGGGATTTCTTATGAAAAGAAATTCTATAAGGATAATTTATTATCCTTCCTTGTACGTTTTATACATATGAATTCTGTGAATGTAGTACAAAATATGTTTCCTAATGTTAAGCGCGACCAAATAACAATGGCATTGATTATAATTACTTCGGGTCTGTAGGTAATTATTTAGCGACGACACTCATGACGAATTCAATTAGTATTAATACTAATATTACTTGTTGTCTCGCTCTTACATACAGTTTTTATGTAGCGTGGTACGTGTCAGTCGTTTACGGAGTGTCGTCACAAAATAATCGTGTTATATTAATATTGGCAAATATTTAGTAGTAAGTGTTCCTTCACAAGGTTCTTGGACGTTACAAAAACAACATAGTTGAGTACTAGATATTTATTTCTAACATTAATTTATCTTACATGTTTACACTTACGGCTAAGTAGTAACAAAAATATTGCTCGTCTAAACACTAACTCTTTTAAATTAACTATTCGAATATAGTATAGGTAAAACAAAATCACTGTTATTTTTCTCAAATCACATAGTACTGAATCATACAAAAAGTTACGAAAAATATTCAGAATATAATGAAAACTTTTTAAAAATCACAACAATATTTTTAACAACATAATATTATGGAACATATCTATAATAAAATATATAAAAATAAACAATTTTACTTACCTATCGGTAATCAATATCTACTGGGTTCTTAACAACGCACCATTTTGGCGCATTTTCGATGAAATTGTACAAGCAATAAAAACCTATTAATTCTAAATATTTCAAAAATACCGTTAGTTACACAACGTTACAATAGGAAGCTCTAAAGACTTAGAAAAGATATAAATGGGTAGAAGTAAGATTATAACTCGTCTAGATCATATGTGCCAAAATGTATTTGGAACCTCTTTGGTACAAAGACGAAAATGCGTCAACGTGGTGTTGCTTACAGAAACCACAATAATAATACTTTATAAAATATTCCATCGAATATTTGAAACTACAGAAGACTTGATTTATAAAATAGAATTATATATTCTTCTATTTAATCAGACATATTTTTACCAGTAAGTTTATAAATGAGCAAAATACTATTTTCCTTACAGTACTGTTAATGTAGACTTGATCTAGTAAATTCAAGTTAAGATTATTTGTGTAATGAATAAACTGGGGCTAATGCTTATTTCTTAAATGGAATATAAATTAAAAGCACCTATAAAATAATGTATTTTATACTATAAAGCTGTTGGCAAATATAAATGCCTTTTCCTAACTATGGTTATACATTAAATCATTATTTCTGAAGCTCATATTTTCCCCCCATAGTATAAACAGTTCTCACAGCGCAATTTGATTTGGTTTTCTAACAAATATTTTTTTTTTGACACTCACGAGGGCATTATTTATTATTATTTTACGTTGAAAAACAAACAGATCTATATTTTGGATATAATCCATTAATTTGGTAAGCCGCTAGAATAATAGTAGAAGAATTACACCTACCTAAACTGTGTTCAGAAAAATGCACTATAATTCAATTAGATTCTAAGAGTACCGAGCAGTTGTAAATAGGTACTAGGTGTATATAATATAACAGAAACCTTAAACTCGTAATTACATAACAATTATGGTAACATATAATACTATCGACCGACGACTCCACTTTTGTACCTTTTCATGGAATGTTGAGATATAATTGGAATATTTACTTACAGTAGTGAAGCAAGAATTATTATCATAAGTCGAATATAATGTCTATTATAAGACAAACAATTGGGTATTGAAAAGTAGTAAGAGTTATACTAAAATCTAAGTAGAGGACGGACCTACGCTGTCTAGAGCCTTAGGATTATTTAAATACCAAGAGAATTGTAATATTATTGTCATCGTTAAAACTGTACAGAGTACATCGCTCTATACAAACATGTTTGGCAGACAGAGAATACTGATCATAAAAGCAACTGCCATTGCCATTCAAAAATAAGGTACAATCATATTCAAAAAACAATTAAATTTAAAAATAATAATTAAAAAACAAATTGGTACATCTCAGCCAAACACAACCAACCAGCGAGTGGTTTATAAATTACTCTAAAGGCAATAATAACATTATTAATAATAAGTAGTTAAACATTAATAAATAAAACAATGAATACTCATCATTGCGAGCATATCCAATGGTTCTAGCAAGCGTCAATGTGTGATGGGTGTCCGATGCAAGGGTTCATGCTAGCGCAGCGGGTCATTTAAACGAGAAAACTATTGGGCATCCGAAAAAGTTGAAAACACCTAAAATGAAAAAGAAAACATGATATGTATTGCATACACATTATTCTACAAGGGAGAAGTCCCGAGCCTCGTCACACTTACAACTACAGCTTGAGATTCGCTTCAAATAGTTCCACTAGCGAGCGTTATATCAGATAAAATCAATTAATCGACAGATTGGACGTAAACACTCAACACAGTGGAGTTGATTACTACGTTTATCTAGCACTTATATTTATTAGCAATACGACAGGCTAGCGCGACGCAACGCGTTCACTCAATAGGAAAAATTGGTTTTATTTTAGCAAACCGAGGCGCGGGACTTCTGATACTACGAACAGGTACATGCAATGTGTTATGACCATTCAAAAGAAATAAAATATAAGCACTGATTCCTCGTTCAAGGCTAACATGCATGGCAAATTCCATTCATAAATTTAAACAACAATAAATAAGTTTAAGTGTATCCTATTCATGCCTCGACATATTAGTTAAAGGTAAGACATATCGCACTCAGTTAAGCCTAAATAGTTTGTATATCTAAATAGTACGATTCTTTCAAGATAAGATAAAGTTATTTGTAACAGTCATAATTGAGGAATTAGTAGTTTTATAGCGGTTCAATGAAGAAGAGATTATAAGAATAAGAAATTAAGGATAAAATAATTAATAAGAAATAAAATTTTATTACAATTCTAACTAATTTGTAAGTACCTATTAGTATAATTAATTATAAATACAACAATAAGAATGAAATTAAAATAATATTCAGTAGCAGAAAAGTGGATCAAAATCATGACTTTAAATTAACATTAATAAAATACTAAAAGCCTATTAAAATCGTCCAATGGAGACTGAAAAATGGTTATTAAAATAAGTATAAATACGAAACCATTAAAGAAGTGTATGTATAATATGAAGCCATATAACGACATATTATTATATTTCTCAGCACGTTACGACTCCCGTCCTGCACCTTATGACCCAAGTGGGCGGGTAAATCCTACGCTCTGCGATCAATTGCGGCACTCCTACGCATTATCGAGTTTCAGCATAAAATTAATACAGATAATATTACTAAACTATGATATTTTATTGGAAAATGTGATAAGGCAGTCAATCAGTAGCAAGTTATAATGTTAGAGACCATAATTATAAAAAAACACGGGATTTTGATATTTAAAGTGTGTATGTAAGTGCGAAAATTATACCTTTGTTCTAATTATAGAAATCAATTGTGTGTAATTGAGCTGAAATATAGCGCTTCATTAACTGACGTTTTAATGGTCAGTTATCACGCAAATTATAATCGTTTTGGTGCTACCTATATTGTTTGTTCTATACTCGGTAAGGTCTCAGGCATTCGTTTCTAAAGGCTAATGACCTATGTTGTTAGGGAACTGCAATGGATGCGAGTAAACATCCATCTAAGAAGCACAATCACTACTTCTGGAAGTGAATCAGACTTCTAGCCTACGACAGAGAACTTAAACATCTAATCTATCAATACCCTAGTAAAACTAGTATTAGACGACATAATTAAGTGTTAATTGGAAGAAAATCGAATGAATGCATGTTAGTTGGTTAATTTGTACAATGGTGCCTACTATTGTGCAACCAGACTACAGTGCGTACCATCATGTTAGTAGAAAGCGAACGTGAATCTGATCAGTAACACAGAGCATGTTACAAACACATTATACCCACGTTTGTCCACACGGAGCACCCAGACAGATCTCACTTTCGACATCTGTGCCACTCAAAATGCGTTAGAAATAAAATCAAACGACGGCTGTGAAGAATATACTCATTTATTTATCTATATTAAGCTCCCACATGACTAAATAATAATATGCACAACAGAAATAATGATTCAATGACATAAATGTTAAGACATAGTGTTCATAGAAACACCAACTCTGGTGACATCAACTAATGACATAAGTATGAACGTTAAACATCATGTAATCTATCTATAATATCATATAAATCTACTCTAATTCAATACTTGTACCTCAGTTTAACATATCATTTCCTCATATTGTCTGGAAAGTTTGGACTGATCCATGATTTTAATCATAGTGTTTGATTGCATCAACACAATATTCATAATAATATGTGATAACAAGCAGTGTAATAGAATACACCGATCTAAATAATAGACTAGTTATATACACACAAATAACTTAAAATATAAGAGCCAAAAATATATTCTACGTGACAAGTGCGCGAAGGTGCCGAGTTCACCAAGCCACCGATACCGTTAAATGCCAAACACGATGAGACGCGGCGCTCCCGCAACCATGTTAGTTCACATATACTATGTACTCGACGTGTTATTATAAGCCAATATATAATATATGTCATACTAGTCGTATCCAGGTTTAGTACCACTGTACATTTGTCTATTCTACTGGATATATTTCATATTTACTATTAAATATTAAACTATATAGAAAAATAATATACCTATATAGTAAGGGGTTTAGACATTGGTGTGAAATTGTATATATAGCCCAATAAAGTTACAGGAATGTATAGACAATAATAATTATACCTAAATATAGTAAAGACTAACTAGCGACAAGTACCCTATCTAGTTATAATGGTATGCATTTCATAAATGCACACTGACTTTTTGGTAATAAAATTATTCAAGAAGAATGTTAGAAGAGTTTGTGACAAGTGGACTCAATGTAGTTGATTATTCTAGTGACCTTTCTATTACTATCTGGGATATCTCTCAAGTCTTCTTTCATAATCAGACTTAAATATCAAATTAAAGCTTATTAACTTTCACTGTTTATAAAACATCATGGCTAATATTGCACTATGTAAATGCAGTTTGAGCCTCTTCCATACAAAAAATGCTTGGAAACAGTAAATCCAACTTCATGAAAGTCATACTAACGCATTTCAGCATTGAAGCAACATAAATAATCAATTTTGAATCAAGTCAAATAAATGCTATACTACCTTATTTCATTCAGAGAACAATTTATTCAACATTGCCTTACCTTTGGTGATGTTCAATTTTTGGTGATAATCAACATTGGAATGTAAATAAATCTCACATTTCATATAATAACCTTTCTAAGGAACTCAAAATAAATATATGGAAAAAATAAAAATTTGAGTGTAAAAAGTCAAAAAATACTTGACCATTTTTAGCTCGAGTATTTAATGCAACAGAACAGAACGATGGTCCGTAGGGAATGGATAAGTGATACGCGCGCTCGCAACTCAATGTAAACGTTTAGGCGATTGTTTCAATTTATCACAAAATGTTGAACGTGCCGCGCCGCGACATTTCTCTTAGGATATGGTAGTGTAATATTTACTTGACTTCTTATTACCTGGCGAGCTAGTGGCCACAGATTGTTCAACTTTTTTACGCTCAAATTTGAGTGGTTGCTTGAGATTGACATTATTGGACTCCGCTATCGCCGCCAATCGCTCCAGCACACTACTTATTGTCAAGCGCTCTTCAGGGTTCACTGTTAGGCAACCACCTGCGAACAAACACATCACAATCACATATTTACATTCACAACACAACACATTGCTCAAACAAGGTAATATACTCACTTATGACTTCATGAAAACATTTGTAGCGTTGATCATTGGGGTTAAGATTATAATTTCCATTTAGGATAGCCAGTTTAGCCGAGTCCTCAAATGGATGTTGCATGTAGCATAGTGTATAGAGTATGCATCCTAGGGCCCAGACATCAACACTGTGATCGATTTTGCGATTGTCCCAAGTGTCTAACATTTCTGGTGCTCTATACATAGGAGTAGTAAACTGGGCCAGCTGGAAACAAGGAATATGTGAGCACAGGAGCAAAAAGTAACAAAACATTTAAACATGTCTGAACATTTAAGAATAACTTACGGTTTCTTCTAACATATTTCTCTGATTTGCGCTCCAAGAGGGGTTTGGAGTATAAATATCTGTTGTGGCTGATCCAAAATCACACAGCTTTATTGTACCTATAAGAAATTACAATCATGTTAGAACATTTGGATCAAATTTGCAGCGGTCACATGTACTCAAAGTATGCATTATTATATAAGACATTAAATGTTACCTTCATTAGAAATTAAGAAATTTTCTAGTTTGAGATCACGATGTGCGATTGGGGGCACCTGTGCATGCATGTGTTGCACAGCCCGACAGGTTTGGTAGAACACCCTGAGTATGGTGGGAAGAGGAAAGGCCTGGCCTCTGTTCTGAAGGGCCTCCATCAAGCTTCCTCCACTGCACAAGTCAGTCAGCAATAAATACTCTCCCATCCCATGTGATGTCTTTGACTTATCAATAAATGATGCTGCTATGTATTTTATAATATTAGGGTGACCTGATAACTTTTTTAATATGCTAATTTCTTGAATAATGTTTTTATTTGCTTGCTCATCAGCTGCCATTAGCCTTTTCAAGGCATATTCAGTACCACTGGATACATCTTGAGCAACAAACACAAAAGCAAAACCACCTGCAATAGAAAGAACTTAGTAGGAACATTGTTACTGGACCAATTATTTAGGTTTTATATTAATTTCCTGTAAAGTATTTCCTCCTGTAGGTACAAATAAAATATTGACACAAAAATAATTTCCTGAATTGCTGTTCATTGAAGAATTAAAATATAATAAAAGTGACACCACCAAATTATTGACTTTCATTGAAAAAAAAAACCTAAACTCATTATAAGCACTTTGCGCACACACACCCACTTTTACCAGATGTAAATATTAGCATAGATTCTTCAGATGGTAAGTCTATTGTATAAAATTAAATATGAACACAATTCTACAGGAATTGTATATAAGACCTATTTGGTTGTCCTACAACCATAATTTCAATTAATAAAATAAATAATGTAAGCAATTCTATCAAATATTGCACCATGAGTTCATTAAATATGGGAATTTAATAACATACTGGTAAATCCCATGCTACAAATGAATGCAGCAGGTAAATGTAGAACTACAAGATAATAAGGAATATCCGTAAAGTGTGAACAGAAATATGGTAAGTTTCCTCAACCAAGCTGTTGTAGTACTTCTGGTATAGTACAATATGTGTCAGATTCATATCTGCTTGATTCATACTGATAAACCAATCAATTTATTCATTTACCCTGTGTGATATGAATCAGAGCCTAATTTATGTGACCTTATAGAGGCTGCTGAGAACAATAATCTTAGTATTGTTATTTTCATATATACTTAAATAAACCTTATTATATTTATAATGACGATTTTTCGATTTCTCAAAACACACCGAAATAAAAAGGTTCGGTGACCTCATTATGACGGAATTAACGCAATTTCTTATCGGATATGTTCCATCTCATCGACCCCAAACATTTGTCGAACAACGTACCCCTAAACGCCCCCAATTTCTATGACGTTAGTACGTGTACTGCACCAAGACCTCAACCTACGCATAATAGAACTTCACTGATCTTATGGTAATGAGTTATCCGAGAGGAACGTGAACACAAAACTAAGAATAAGATATTGACTTACCTTCTGCAATCACCTTCTTCACTCTTAATTTCATATTTCCTATTTCAACAAACTGACCAACAAAATCATTATCACTGCCACCGTTAGCGCCTCCTGAGCTAAAATAGCCCATGGCTGATTTAAAGACGCTCATTTTGGAATCTAATTATGTGGTTTTTCTATATAAATGAAGAAAAAAACTGTGTTTTATCAGCACCCTTTGCCCAGATCCATTTTACAATGGCAGAAAAAAAGAATAGGCAGATTTGTTGGCAAATGGCAGGACATTTGCAATGTTGCCAACTCAAATCAGTTTTATATTTATTTTATTAAAATATTTTCTAGTAATTGTGAAAAAGAGTTGATAAAATACAAATAAATACATTAAATTTTGTAGAAGACCATAAAATATTACCGAAACAATAACATAATAAATTTTAAATCGAATAAGTTCTTTCTTACAAGAAAACCATTGCAATGTAATTTTGATTTGAGTTTTGACAACACTGAACCGCCATAGAGTAAAATCAACTATGCATGCAATTTTTTCTTAGAGGTGCGATGTCTGAAATTAGTCAATGTCGATGATTTTTATCCGGGTTACTATTGATCGACTAAATTTTGACAGCATTATGACATTAATCAAAATGTTTTTGTCTTCGAAGTGGTACAATCTGTGGGGGCATTGTTAAAAAGTCATTTTAGAAGGAAAGCAAAGCAAACTGTGCTGATTTTATTATTTGTTATTGGCATTTCCTTCAATTGCAGTTTTATAAATAGTCAAAATTCCACGCAAGAACACACCGGACTGATGTTTGTCAATCCCGTGTGAAAATAACAAACATGGGATTTGAAATCAAAAGATTTCAAGGTGACGTTGATGAAGAACTCATTTGTCCTATTTGTTCAGGGGTTCTAGAGGATCCACTTCAGGTTTGTCTCAGTTTTTTAATTGGATTAGTTGTGGAAGTGATAACATGTGTGTAAAAATATGTTTTTTGTGGGTGCAGGCTCCTGCTTGCGAGCACGCGTTTTGTCGTGCCTGTATAACTGAGTGGATCAGTCGCCAGCCCACCTGCCCCGTGGACCGACAGGCAGTCACCGCGAGCCAGCTCAGACCAGTTCCCAGAATACTACGTAATTTATTATCAAGGTGATTATTTCACAAGAATGTCATGGATTCTTATTGGTTTGTAGGTCAAACATTTCTGATTGTTTTGCAAGGGCTTATATAATAAAACATATAGTGAGCTTAATAGTAAATGTGTTGTAATAGTGAGATTATAGATACTGTTAAATTGATTGGATCATAGAGTATCAAATGTTGCTGGAACTAATCAAGCACTAAGTGTTTCTAGGTAACATTCATAAAGTATTCCTAACACCTGAATCATCAATACATAGAAGTGAAACATAATAGAATTATAATGAATGAAATACATAAATGTTATATGTTTTTCTTATAGATTGTGTACAAGCTGTGACAACGCACCACATGGGTGCAACGCTGTATTAAAACTGGATTCACTTGCGTCCCATTTAGTTGAATGTATGTATTTAATATATATTTACTTTTGTACTTAAAACCAACATACAAAGAGGCCTCATATTAAGTACGAGTTTGTTTTATGTTAAATGTAATTGAAACATAAAGTATGGTACGGTGCTCTGAATTAATGAAACAACTAATCAAAGTGCAGAACATGGTCTTGTTCCGATTATTTTTAACGTAAAGCAAACTTATACTAAGGGCTCGGATAATGTTTTCTCTTATTGGATTGTGTTTGATGCTAGTATGTAACCTACTGCTAAAAGCATTTACTAGAAGACTATAGAATCAACAATACTAATGAATTTATTTAGTTCAATGGGTTATTTTTTATAATAACTATCGTGAGACATACTAAATTAAGTAAAAACGCGGGTTACTCACGTGAATATACTGTTCTTCCTCATGAGCTGCGCGACGTCGCCGCGACGTCGCGCAGCTCATGAGGAAGAACCCCTCTGTGGTTCGAAACTAGTAGAGCTTTTCTCAGTATATTCACGTGAGTAACCCGCGTTTTTACTTAATTGGGTTATTTATATATCTTTTCAAAGTTTATATGATTTTTGATCTAATCATTAAAGTCTAAACTTCCATTATGATTGTTGATAAGATAAGACTTAACATTAATTTAACAATGTACATAAATATATTTCTAACAATAATACTTTTAATAGGTGAATACAATCCCAAAAGGCCAATGCCATGCGAAGCAGGATGTGGACTTGTGATACCGAAAGATGAACTGGCTGAACATAATTGTGTCCGTGAACTACGGGCCCTTATTGCAACGCACCAAGGAAAATTAAATGACTATGAACAGGAGTTAGCGGAACAGAGACTCGTCATAAATGAACATAAACGGGAACTGGCATTATTAAAAGTAAGTAAATTCGTTTCAATATTAATATCCTAAAAAGTCATACCTACTTATCGTGAATGTGAGTCCTAAATTGCTGGGCAAATTTTGATGGCTTTTTGAATATTGTGCTATGATGATTTAACTGTCTATCAAACAATGAAAAAGTTTCCCATAAAAAAGGTAATTAACTTGTGTACAAATAAGATATTGATTTTTTTGTTACTTATAGTTTTAGAATTAAATAGCAATAATAAGGTGATTGAGAACACCATTGTTTGCATATTCTAATAAACATACACTTTAAAATATGAAATCAGAAGTAGCTTTTTATTGAATTAATTTCATTTAAAAACATGTTCAAGACAAGTCACCTGTGAATAACATAGCAATGAATAGCATAGTAACTATTTTTTCTAGAAAAATTTAATGTTTATGTACTTGTTTACTTTTTTTTCTAAAACAAAGAACTGAATGTGCATTCTCATATTGTTAGTGCTGAGCTCTAATTTCTAAATACTCTGCTAAAGTTTCATCGTATTCTTTGCAATTTTAAGTAGTAGTAGCATAGATTTTGTGGTTGTACTGTCCAAACTGGTTATATAAAATAGGTATTTTATTCATGAACTGTGAATAAAATTATTGAATGCAAGTATTATCATGAAATCTTTAACTGTTTGTAGGATGAAGTCAAGCTATGTATCTTTAAACAATACACTATGTTAAACATTCCTGTTTTCTTTAATAGATTTTCAAACTTATGCTGTTGCAGTATAGTTGCAAATACATTAAAAAGTTTTTGTCATATTATGTAATTTTTGTTATCTATTGTATTAGGAATTTATGCGAGCGATGCGTCTGTCAAATCCTTCAATGCGAGCGCTTGCCGACCAGATGGAGCGAGAGGAAGTGGTGCGCTGGGCAAACTCACTGTCGCGCGCGAGAGTCACACGCTGGGGCGGAATGATATCCACCCCTGATGACGTCCTACAGGTGAGATATTAATATTTGATGTAAATTTTTAATACTAACTGATTTCAAGTTTATGTATTCCAATTGGCCCAACTGTAGTTCATAAATTAATTAAAAGTATGAAGCACCCATTTTGTATGAAAAATCTTAAAAACTGGTCACAAACTATATTCTATTATATTATGGGAATAATAGGAGTGATTTTATGAAATAAACAAAATTATGAATTTATATTTTAGATGATGATCAAACGAAGTTTATCAGAGTCTGGCTGCCCCCCTCACATAATAGACGACCTAATGGAAAACTGCCACGAACGACGGTGGCCTCCGGGCCTCTCATCACTTGAAACCAGACAAAATAATAGGAGGTAACTTACACAACACAATTTTTCTTAACCGTTGCCTTTTTGCAACTTGGTTTAAATTATCACTAGTTTTTCAGTCAGTATTTTGCATAATCATAAGTAGTAGGGACTACCATTTGCCCTAACTTGTTTGGTAAATCATGATAACATAGAAACAATGTTTCTAATTGTTCTATTTCGGAAATCCAATAGGAAAACCAATACATTTCCAATTTCCTGTTGCATCAGTAATGGTTTAATTTTTCAATTTATAACCAATTACAAATGAATTAGTGTTGTATTAATAACTGTAATACGTATTATTATTGCTCTAGTACTTAATAGTAATTGCTGTTTTCCAGCATATCAATGATGACTTCACCCATTCTATGCACTTGTCTGAATTTTAGTGAACTAAACAAAATCAATTTCTTATCCACAGGTTATATGAAAAATATGTTTGTAAAAGAGTGCCCGGGAAGCAAGCAGTGCTCGTGCTACATTGTGACAACACGCACGTGGACGAGCACATGATGGTGGAGCCCGGCCTCGTCATGATCTTCGCGCACGGCATCGAGTAGCAGACGGTCCCACGCTGTTGGAGTTCATATGACGTTGTATGCTCTCAAATGTGCGGACATTGTCACTGGATGCGGAGGCATTGGGCAGAGCTGTACTATTAGTATATAGAAGACATAGTTAAGTCACCAGAAAGAATTTAACGAGCCCACTTTGTGCGCTATACGTAGAATATGTGTTCCTACTACGGTGCCCTAAAAGGGTTCGACGTACAGTATCTGTACAGTTAAATTGATCCGTCCTCTCAGTGCCTCCGCAGACTAGTGCGCGCGTTGTCAGGGTCGCCACACTCGAAATATTACACTCGCGGCAATGACGAGCCGACCTGGATCTCTGAGCGACCACGACAATCAACTCTGCCAATATGAATCCTAGTTCTAGAGTAAAATACAACTAGTAGCAAAATTATATGGCCAATGGCCAGCCATAAGATATGTTGGCATTTTAAAAAAACTTATTTTCTGGCAACTGTAAGACCAATGATTACTGTACAATATTATACAAATCATATTTGATAATGAGTGTAGAGAAATATTTTTAGGTATGAACTATGTGAGTTTCTAGACTTTCTAGTATATTAACATTGGATTGAAGACATTCCTAATAGAAATGAAATAAAAAAATATTTAATAAATGTTTATAAGTTGATTCAATGTTATGGAATTCAAAATTTAAGTATTAATGAATTTTAGTTTTTTATAAGTTTTTTTTATATTAAATTAGTGATTGAATGCTGTGTTATGTTACAAATAGTGTCATTGTTTATAAAATAATATCTTAATTTTATACTGAGTACACAATGAATCATCAAAAGGGACCATGAAATATAATTTGATAGCATGACTTTGTAATTTTGTTTGAGCAGGTTCAAAATGAAATTTTACAGTTCAAAGACCCCTTTAAGTGTGCACCTTCTTTTATGTATAACTTCGATTTTTATTATTATATCCCTTATATTTTCCGCTATATTATTATAATTGGTGTCCTTTATCATGTATTTAGCTCAATTTTTAATTAAATATACTTACTGATCACTAATTGAGAAACAATATGTTTTATTTATTTTCTGGTGCTCCTCTCGTTTGGTCGAGTGGTCGCAAATGCTACTGTTGGGCAAGGGGTCTCGGGTTCGATTCCCAGGAAGGGCTAAGTATTACTGGGTTTCTTAAAAATCTCAGTAGTAGGTCGGAGTCTGGAATTGTACCCTGTATATGGCAATAGGCTCACCCCCTATTACATGGGCATCATTACATAAATAGTGGAAAATGGGTGTTACATTGATTGTATAGTGGCATCATGTGCCGTGTTGTGCACCTCTGCCTGTCTCTTCGGAGATGAGAGGCGTAATGTTATGTTTATTTCCTTTTGAGAATTTTCGATACATAAAAATCGAGTTTATTGGTTTGTATAAATCTGCGCAATATTAATAAATAAAATCAGCAATTTTATGGAAAGGAGGAAATGCTTGAGTGCGTAAAAATATGTGAAAGTGTTTACGATATTAATTAAACTATCACCACTAAAAATTATCACTCATGCGTAAACTACTACAGCAATTTTACGAGAGAAGCTTGGGAAAGGACAAAGTACTTAAGACAAAAATTACTTGCCTATCAGCCCAAAGCAGAGGCGGTTGAAACTTAGACCGAGACAAGCACCTCATAAGTGCCCTTTATTTTATTGACGACACCTTTTGGGTGCTTTTCTTTAACCTAGCGCTCTAGGCACTTCTTGCACAATATAGGTCTGGCCCAAAATCATTCGGTAAGAACTAGTAAATAAGAATTGGTTGTTTGCTCAATAATCTAGCGAAGGTATGTCTCTGTTCTCTGAGGTCTGGAGATACAATATGTATTGTAATATCAAGAGTGAGGTATTTTTATACCTCTTACATTATAGCATGAAATGAAACGTGGCATACGTAAATGTCAAACAAAGAGCAGCTGTCAAATATTTTTGTTTGTCATCTTCAACACAAACTTTCCGAAGTTATTGTGAATTAAAACATCGACAATGTCTGAAATGGAAGTAACGGAGAGTGGGAACGATTGTTCCAATGATTTGTGTAAGGATTTATTTACCATTAGTATGGATAATACGCGTTAAATGCTCGATAACCTTAGTGTGTCCACCGGCTGTTCGTCAGCTCGGCTAAAGGCTTGTTTTATTCTTTCCAGTGCTTCTGGATCGTGTGTTTCTGCGTCTAGGCAACGCTGATAGCGATGACCAGCTCGAAAGCTGCCTAAATCGGTTCTTGCCACCAGTCATACTGAAGTTGTCGTCACCTCATGAACAGGTGTGATGTGGTCTATTTACATTTTCCATGATATAAAATAATTGTGAAGTATGACTCTCAGATTGCTTGTACCTGTTATTTCCTTATTTAACAAATTCTTGTAGGTGCAAACTCTTTCTTAATAGGGTAGACTGTATTGATTTTTTTATTATAAGAATAAGAATGTTGACATTAGGCCAGTTAAACATATCAAATCGCTTCGTCATGCTACTACGAATCCATCTGATTCATAATGAAATATTTTTAATCTCATATCATAAAAATATGAATGTTACCATGCCAACAAATTGTATGAAAATAATATTGTTTATCTATATTTGTTTTCATCAATGATTATTAGGTGCGTACCAAAGTGATGGAGTTACTGGTGCATGTGAACAAGAGAGTGAAGTGTCGTGCAGGTGTGCAGCTGCCCGTGCAGACTCTATTGCAGCTGTACAAAGAGCCCACTTCCAACAGCTTTATTATTGTGAGTATTACTCAATTATATCCTGCTTTCCATAAAATGACTATGATAAATAGTTTTTTGGCGCTATTTCAATGACTTTTGAAGGTTTACCTTGAATTTTATGCCTATTACTTTGGAAAATGTACAAAGTTTTAACTCTTTTGGCCACTGCCTAGCAACTGTACTAACTGTATTATGTCATAAGAAATCATTTATAAGTATATTTTGTTGACTCACAGAACTTCTCAATCATATACATAACTATGGGGTTCCCGAGGCTGCCTAGGGAGCAGCAGCTGAGCCTGGCACCTTCTTTACTGCAGGCTATTGAGAACAAACCCCAGGGACACCAAGATGGGTAAGCATTTAAATATAAGATTACATTACACTACACTGCATCACTACCTACTTGGCTGATAAGACAGCCATTAGAATACAATAACAATGAATAACAAGCTTGAAGCCGGAGTTATTAGTCTGTTAGTATTTGACACTCCCTCCCAGCCCATCTCGGTCAACAAAAGTCATTTGATATTTTCAATCCACTAAAAAATTTATAGACTTCTCTAGAGAACCTCTCTCAGATGTTCTTAACCCGTTTAAATCCATCGCCTAATTTGGTCATACAAAAGTAGTCTCTAAGCATTGGAAATAGGGTCTAAAATCTGATGTAATGTTAGTGGAGAGCGGTCACCGGTGACCGCTTGGGGATATATGTGTTAACCCGTTGAAAATGGTTGAAAATCATCCCCTAAATTTGTTCATACAAAAGTAGTCTCTAAACATTGGAAATAAGGTCTATAATGTAGTTAGGGGAGAACGGTCACCGGTGACTGCTTAGGGGTATATGGGTTAAGGCATTTATCAATTTACTTGTATGTGTAAATGATCAAAATGACTTTTATTTCAGTATCCTGATGCTAGTCATGCCACTGCTGGGAGATATCAAAGAAACTGATCTGAATTTGAAGGAGAAACCTAAAGTTGCTAATTTGATACTCAAGTTTGCCACGGATGTCCTACTTCTACCATACAGGTAATATTTTGTCAGTAGCTAAAAGTATTAAAGACTTCTTAAATGGCTAACGTTTTTAATCAAAATTCAATGGTTGACCTTTATAAACCTTACTTGAATTGATAGTAGTAAAAGACAAAGATTGAATGACATGAGTAGTGAATTAATTTTTTTTTTTATTGAAATGAATAATAAATTATGTTCTGGGGAGTTTCAATAGATGTATGGGAGTTTCTAAACATAAAACTAGTTTCTGACATTTAAAAAATTATTGAATTTAACTACTTGTCATGTCTATTGTTGCGTATGTGAATGGAAAGGCGTGATTCTATAATATAATAGGGAGATAGTGGTCAAACGTCGGCCCATAAAATATAAAAAAAAGTAATAATAATTATATCAGTCAGTCATAACTAACGATGGAGGTTATAATATGTTCATAGTCTAACAGTGAACTATGACAGGATCCTAATGATGATAATGTTTTATTTGCAGAGCATTGCCCAACCCTGGCGAGAGTGAGTTCCAAGTGCCGCCCGGTATGAGCATGAAGACATACAAACGTATCATTGACAAAAACCAATTGAACCCTAACCAACTTGAAGAGGTATGCTTCATAAAATTATTCTAAAATCTAGTGTTATTTGCTTGAACTTTGAAACACAAAAATACTAAGTCAATGGTGGTGATTGTTACTACATATAGCATCAGATCCCGTGTAGTCTGTCTTCTGTCCTAGGGAATAGGACTTAACACTGCATTAGCACCATCTAGTGAGCACAAAATCATTTGCCCATTCATCTTTGGCATACACTGGCTTTTAGTTCACTTGTTGTTGTTAAAATTTTTGCTACTTATTACACTAGCTACTTCCGCGCGGTTTCACACGCTCTGCTCAGCTCCTATTGGTCGTAGCATGATGTTTTATATCTTATAGCCATCCTCGATAAATGCGCTATCCAACACAAAAAGAATTATTCAAATCAGACTTGTAGTTACGGAGATTAGCGCGTTCAAACAAACAAACAAAAAAACAAACTCTTCCGCTTTATATAATAGTATAAGATATAAGATCATAATATATAATTCTTTGTTTTGCAGATGAAGCTGTCTATAGTGAACTTTATAGGCAAAGATATATTCAACATGAATGACACATTGCTCACATTGATTGTAGCCGCCGCCGACTCGCGGTTCAGTGTTGCCAATCACGCGAATAGTCCACTTATAAGGGTTAACAGGTAAAATAATATTAACTTTAAAATTCTGTGTGTATTCAGAATTGTGCAAACCCTAATTATGAAAGTATTGTTGGCGTTTGAGTTAATTTCGACTTTATAATGAAACAATATAGTTTAAATCACATTGTATTAATTTTTGTACCAATTTATTGCAGTTCCGTCGATTGGTCTTCGCCCTCAGTCGTGGCTCCACTATACTCTTTATACTTAGGTACTTGGGGAGGTATGAAAGTACCCCCAGATGATCGTAAGGTAAAGTACTTTTACTAACAGAAATATCTGCAAATGATTTTCCAATCTAAATCTATAAGAATAAGGTCCAATTTACTAAAGCATATTTGTGTATCGTAGGTACCATTACCGACTAAAATATCTGCAAAACATTCCCAAACTTAACTGCAAAGGAATAAGGTCTAATTTGCTAAATCCTGTTTTGTGTTTTAGGTACCAGCTTGCACAAGGCTTCGTTTGAAACTGATACAGTATTTAAACAAAGCGACTGGACCGGCGATCATGTTCCCGCATTGTGTACAGGTAGGTTTAGCCTTTTAAAAATTTTATATTTAACTCAAAAAAGTGTTGTATTTGAAGAGTGCTATTTGTTTAAGTATTTTGGCTGGAAGTCTTTAATAATAATGTATTTTGGGCTTCGATAGTTAATCCGGCACAAATATTAAATATTTCAAGGAACAACGTTCTATCTATCTCTTTATTCTTTGAAATTTTCTTTTCCCATAAGGGACCATCCATAAATTACGTCACAACTTAGGGGGGAGGGAGTCTCATAAATGTGACTAGCTGTGACCAGGACGGGGGAGGGGCACAAAAATCATGAAATTCGTGTGACGTAATTTATGGATGATCCCTAATTACAATAATATTGATTTAAATAAGTTTAAACAATAGTAATTAATGTAACTATGACCGGTGCAGGGTGATTATAACTGACACTTTTTTTACATTTGACAGGTTGTGTTTTCATCTCTTTTTGATCCGAATACAAACTCCAGATTACGTAATCAGGCGCTTGTATTTCTCCTTAACGTAATCAATAGGTAAGTGTTTATTAGCATATTACAATTTGAACCTTATTTGTTGGAGAATAAATACACTAATGCAATAATTTAATTTCAGTGGTGATGAAGTTCAACTGAAGAAGGTAGCAACAGTGTTCCTTCAAGGTCTACTGAAGCTCATCAGATCTGAGGAGCATACGGAACAGCACCCTAAAGCCTATATGTGTTTAGGTTCGTTTTTAAATAACTTGGATAATTAATATTTTACAATTGCAGTTAGCAATTGTTTTTGGCGTTAAAAAGTGTTATGGTTTGATCTAAAATGACTCTGTTTTATGATAAAACTTCGATAGCGCCCTATTCATAACATCACGTCTTTTAGCCTACTAAGGGAGCCTATGTAACACTTAGTTTTAACCAGTTATAAGTCCCACGTATATGGTGAGCCCGCTAAGCTAGGCTAATGCTTTTTTATGGGATAAGCCGATAAACGAGCAGACGATCACCTGACGGTAAGCAATCTGCGTCGCCTATGGATACCTGAAACACCAGAGGCGTTACTTATAATTGGGAATTTGAGGATTATGGGGGATTCGGGAATTGGGGAGACTGCAACTACCATTCTGCCATTCCCAGTGCCGAATGGTGGTTGTCCCAATGGTTCTACCAAACTTGAATGCTTCTCAAGGTCTCTTAGGAAGTGACCCAAAGGTTAATTAACGTTTTTTAAAGTCTCTCATTTGAGCAATTTGTATATGTCTTGAGGCCTCTGTAATATACCACAGATCATGAAATATTTTATTTAACACACAGGTCGTCTAGCAATGAAGTGTCCAGATACGATCAACAATCAGTTTGCTCTACTGGAGGAGTTGGTGAAGAAGATACCGGACGCAGTGCCCGAGATGAAGACCGCGCTCAGGGACGCACTGCTCGAGATGTCCGCTGGATTCAAGATTAATGCTGAAGGTAAAGACTTTGAGCCTTTTTAATTAAACCCTCATTCGGCAAAAGGGAAATTTGGGAAAAGTTAAATATACTTGTGGATTTTTAACATCCTCATGAGTTTTTTTATGGCATAAGCCGGTAAACGAGCAGACGGATCATCTGATGGTAAGCAATCGGCGTCGCCCATGGACACCTGGAACACCAGAGGCGTTACAAGTGCGTTACAGGCCTTTTGAGGATTAGGAGTTTGAGGCTCGTAGGGGATTCAGGGATTGGGGAGATTGGCGAAGGGGAGGGTAATTGGGCCTCCGGTAACCTCACTCACACGACGAAACACAACGCAAGCGTTGCTTCACGTTGGTTTTCTGTGAGGCACCTCACACTCACTTCGGTCGAGCCGGCCCCTTCGTGCCGAAGCATGGCTCTCCCACACTTAAAAGTTGTTAGAGACGCAATAATTTATTGTTTTTATCCGGGATATGAGAGATTCGTTGCTCTCAGACATGTAATCTTGACTTAACTTATTAAATTACATAGCTAACGCGGTCGCTCCAAGTTCGTCCACGGCGGGCCCCTCCCAAGCTGACAAGATGGAAGTGGACGACAACTCTAAGACGAGTCCCTTCGATGAACCACAGGCGTTGGCACTGTTCGCACTGCTGGACCAGTAAGTATATATATAACACTATGTTAATTGTTGCTCAGTTTATTTCGCATCTTGATAATTATTCTTGGCAATAAGATTGGCTTTTAGACTTCCATTTAGGCTATTAGGCTTCTTTGACGTTATTAGACTTTTAACAGATTAGATCAATCCGCAAGAAAACTAATATTTATTTCTAGAAGCAATGTTGAAGAAAATACTCGCATTTATATGGTGGACATTATCATGATATGATTCTCAAGAATTTTTGAGTTTTGGTGTTCGCGCTGTTCATCTCTTGGTGATTATTCGTAGTTTTAGAACATACCTGTGTCAAATAAACCTATACATGTGTTAATGTTATTCTTTTATTCACAGTTACATGCACAGTGAAGAGTCAATGATCCGCTACATCGCCATGCGATACTCCGCGGCCGTGTTCCCACAGGACTACGTGCCGTCGAGATACTTACTGCTATTGGCCAGTGGAGATAGGTAAATATAGTTAATATAGATGAAATTATGAAAACATTTGTTTTTATTTCACCTTGAGAATAAAAGTTAAAAATTTTAATGTTTCTTTAAAAAATTAAGTCCAAAATCTAATAAGAAAAATACCAATAAAAAATAATAATAAAAAATCTTTATTTTCTCAAAAATACTCTACGGATACAAATTATATAATATGTTACAATTAAGAGACTGGTGTCCAATGACAGCTAACTTTATATTTTTTAATATTTTTGTACAGTCAAGACGATATATCAACGGAAGCGCTAAAGTGCCTTTACGGCACTTCGAGACCAAGTGAAATAGAAGACGCAGTTTTTAACGTATCTAAGAAAGAGACAGCAGTCGTCAATATAGACGAGGATGGTTCTAAGAAAGACAAGGATAGAGCAGAAGAGAATCAGGAATTAAAAGTGCCAAAGTTTTCAGAAGTAGTGAATTATGTTTGGGATCAAATGCAGAAGAGGAAGAAGGGGTCGAACTCTAAACATCGGTTCGTGATTGGCAACCAAGTGTTACAGTTCCATCCTATGACTTATCAGGAGGTGAGTGGCCTGTGCCTTAACTCTTTCAGTCACAATTTCAACTGGTTATGAATATATGTTATTTAATTATACGGATATGTTTAAAAACAAAAGCAAATACATTTGAAGCATACTTCAAAAATTGAATTTTTAAGAGAAGATGGTTAGCTACAGTACACTAACACTGCAAGATTTACTCCTTTACGTTCTATTGGTCATTTTCATGTCCAATTAGTTATGTTACGTATCTAGTTACTTTTAGGGCCTATTATCGCGTTGGTAAAAATTCTAAACTACACTACACTTGGTGTTCAAGCTCCCACATATTTAATTCACAAAAATGGTTTACATTGTATTTTATATGCACCTGTAGATAGCTTCTGGAAATATAAGGGGTTTTACGACACCCGTTTGAAGCATGTACTGGGTGACAAAAATATTGTAGCCTATGTAGGTTTGCTTTTGAGTTACGTTTCTGTAAGAGTCTAAAAAAATAGGAATTTCGTCACAATCTACACTCATTTTACAAGAAATAGAATATCTTGACACGATATACTTGGCTATATTTATTTTATTTACTAATTATTATTTGTTACAGATCCTACGATACATGCGCATGTGTCTAAACCGCGACGCTTCCCTGAAGGATTGCTCGAACCATCCCAACGCGACCTCTCCACTCCTCGCCAAGTACTTCTACGATAATCTACTCGACACTGAGGTGTTGGAACGATACCTTACTATGATCACTTCATTGCTGAACGCTAGCCCAGGTATTTTGTACTTTGTTGCTATAGTAATAGATATGCTTTTAGATTGGTAGATTTAGTTGTATTGTTCAGTATTTACAAATTTTGGTGGGCTTGGTTTATGTTGTTGAATCCATTGGCTAATAAGCTAATTGAATTAATTTTTTTTTATTTTTGTTAAGTAATTTAATTACTACACTTTTCAGGCAAGTGTGTGTTCAACATACTAACTTACCTGGGAAGTGAATATACAGCAAGGGAGGGCCTTAGTGTTGTAGTGTGTTTACCGTTTATAAATATACTAGCGACCCGCCCCGGCTTCGCACGGGTGCAATATGCATTTATTATACATACAAACCTTCCTTAAGAATCACTCTATCTATTAAAAAAAACCGCGTCAAAATCCGTTGCGTAGTTTTAAAGATCTAAGCATACATACGGACATACAGCGAAAGCGACTTCGTTTTATACTATGTATTGATTATGCATGTCTAACCGAAAGATGGTAGCTTTCCCCTTCAATGAAACTTCTATGACAATTTATAACACACCACATTTCTTTCCCACAGAAATAATGCCACTATCATGTTTCCTGGACATAATCGGCTGCGTGCCTGAAAAGATGGCGGCTAAATACACGAGCCTCTTGCCATTCTTACGTAATCTCTTCACGACCAGTACCAAGGAAGATATAAGGGACATATCCGCAGTTATCTATGCAATAATTACAGTACATACAAGTGAGAAGTCAGCTATCGATAAAGAAATAAAAGAATTTGTGGCCCAAGGACAGAATAATAAGAATTTGGAAGCCCAATGTGGATATTTGGCGGCGTTTTCGAGCCTTTGTGAAAGGTGCATCGTTTTGTCGAAGAGAGCAAAATTCGGCGGTAAAGGTTTTAACCCGGCTAACTGGGAGCCGTATCAGGAAGGCGCTGTTGTGTTGGGTAAGTATTATTATATTACTAACTTTGGCTTGGCTGTAATTCATCGATGTACAGACATAAAGCAGAAGCAAACTTTAACATAGTATTATTTAAGGTTATCTCATTACTGTAAAATGAGATTGTCAAAATATATCGATAGATTTTATCGACTTTGTTTATATCAAAGTATTTTTTTATATTATAGTTTTTCAATTGAAATTATGATGCGGATGCGGCCTCAAGTGTAGTACCAGCAATCGTATTTTTATCCTATTAAACTGTCAAATACCAAGCGGTCACCGGTGACCGCGACCTATTGTTCTTTAATTGTGTCTATAAAACCGGTACTCGACGAGTTAAGTGTGCACAAAAAAGAATATTGATGTACAACAAACCAAAATTTTGCAGCCAACTTCCTAGCAAGTTCCCAGACATTGTTGGTGAGTACATCATGTTCCGCGATATCCCTCCTGGCTCGCTGCAGCGGCCTGCCACTGCCTCCGTCGTCCAGCAAGCAGGACGCACTGCTGCAGGGAGACAACCCATTCAATATCAACAAGAATGATACTAATGTCGACGATAATGACGTCACTAAATTCGCCGTCGCTGATAGGTAAGTGTTTACGTAATATGTGACGTCACTTGCCATTTATTAGTTTTTATTGTTTTTGCAAACAGACCCACTGTTTGTAAAATGGTACTTCTAATAATAGCTATAACCTTTACACCTAAATTTAACGGTTTTCCTCATGTTACAAGTTAAATTACATTTACGAAACTTATAGTAAATTACATTTACGAAATTTACAGTATTCATACTACTATTGAAAATGACGACATTAAAATCTTTAATAACTCTTATTGTTTCTAATGAAAATGTATATTCTGTATCTAGGTTGTTTAAAGTAGTTGGAAACGCGAAACTACCATCGAAGTTAAAAGAGAGGGCGTTGTATACGCTTGGCCTGCTATGTTGTGGTGAGCGATTGCCTTTCGCCAAGCAAATCGTTATGGGATTCTTGCAGATGGCTAAAGATGTAAGTTTTTATGAATTACTTACATGAATTTATTCTTAAAAATCGATATTATTTGTATTTCATTTCATATTATCACGTCAAAAATAATTTTTGAGTGAATATTATGTTGTTGATAAGATTGTTTCCTTTTCCAGAGCAAAGAGTTTGAAATACATTTACAAATTGGTGAATCTCTAGTACTATGTGTGGAGGGAGTGAATTCCAATGAGAATAGAGATCTGTGGACCGAATTGCCTAAAGAGGTAAGTTTTTAATCTGTATGCACATTATAACAGACCCGAAACAACAATTTGTGGACCAAAGAAATAATTGTTCCGCGCAGAAAAGTTATAAAAAATTGTTTTGTTACTGTAGGGTGCGGCGAAGATAAAAAATACGGACGCATTAAAGGAGAATGACGAGTTACTAGAGTGGCTGCTAAAAGAACTCTTCAAGATCGGAAGACATCCACATCCACATTCTAGACAGGTATGGAAGTACTGGTTGGCAAAAAGAAACCTTATTCTCATCGTATCACGATTCTAATTAGGTTGTTCTGGCTCCATTTATTCTAAACGATAACTAGAGCAGATCAAGTAAATGTTAACAGTAAATGGATGGTACTAAGGTTCTTATTCAACTGACAATTTGCTATAATAATAATGTTTTTTCTAGGCAACAAGTATTTGGTTATTAGCGTTACTGAAGAATTGCGCGGATCGGGCGCCTATCAAGAACAAATTACCAGTACTACAAGATGTATTTATGGACTTCCTATCTGAGAATAGCGGTAAGTTAACTGCTCACAGCGTTCTTTACAGCTTCTCATTACATTTACAATTTTATTGTTTCATAATGTAGTTGAAAATATAATGAGGAACTTGCGCATACTATTTTAATTTTGTGTTTTTACAGACATAGTACAAGACGTAGCCAGCAAAGGATTATCCCTGGTCTACCAGAACTCTGATGAAAGCCAGAAGCAAGCGCTAGTTGGTCAAATTATAGAACAGTTGACGAGCGGCAAGCGATCCGTAGCGCAAGTCACAGAGGATACAAAGATATTTGAAGAAGGACAACTTGGGAAAGCACCTACTGGGTATGTAAACAGATTACCGTACAGTTCATTCAGTAATATGCTTTATTGTATTTAATTTTGTGTACATAAAAGTTTGAATAAATAAAAATTATAGATAATACTTTGCAGTGCTATTGTCAAGGAAAATTAAGATTTAGCACGAGTTGCGCAATGCTCATTTTGCACAATCATTATCATAATGTTTGCGCAAGATAAAATTTATGTTATTAGGCTTGTTATGGCTATGGTCCAATGCTAGGACCTTGTGTTTGCACAAATAAAATTTTAGTCATGGGATTTCTTGTTGCACTGGACTAATTACGCTATGATGAAGTTGAAGATGAAATAAAATTAAATGATACTTTTTGTTCACAGTGGTAATCTATCCACGTACAAGGAGTTGTGTTCTCTCGCGTCAGATCTGAATCAACCTGATCTCCTGTACAAGTTCATGCATCTTGCGCATCACAACTCTATGTGGAACTCTAAGAAAGGTAAGAACCGAATATCTTATAGGAATATAACGTATCTGCGCATCACAACTCTATGTGGAACTCTAAGAAAGGTAAGAACCGAATATCTTATAGGAATATAACGTAGGGTCATGCCTCAAAGAGCCATCAGATCACCACAGATGGGGCTCAATAGGGCCGATGCCGATTCGGAGTCGCGGAGAACCTAACGGGTAACCGGGGCTCCGGCTCGACGTGCAGAAGAAGGAACGGGGTGGTTTTTAGTCAGTAAGAGTCTGACACTCCCTTCCGCCTCACCCAGGCGGGAGCAGTCATTCGATGATCTTCGCCCCTCAAAAAAATAAAAAAAGGGTCATGCGATGCGCATATTGTGATTTTTGGAGTTACAAGTCTTTTGCAATAGGGATAAACGAGAAATATTGGACTCTTCATTAATCCGTTGTTTGACATAGTAATCAAAGTTGAGAATCATCAGTTGTGCTTACAACCGGTCCACCAACGATTCGAGTACACAAAAATAATACAAGAAATAATATAAAAGTATCTGTTTGTTTGTACAGGTGCGGCATTCGGTTTCCACTCGATAGCACTGCAGGCTGGCGCGCAGTTGTCGCAACATCTACCAAAGATAGTCCCGCGACTGTATCGGTACAGGTTCGATCCCACGCCGCGCATACAGAACTCCATGCAGGCCATCTGGCACGCCATCGTACCCAACACTACTGCTACTGTGAGTTGAACTAATAAAATATTATTTGTTTAAAACAAGACTTGCGTTTTTGCGAAACAGTTAAAAGACTAAAGTATCTATTACACTGGTTGCATTCAAAACTCTATAGACATGAAAGTAAAAAAACTGATTATTAATTTCTACTGCAGGTCCATAAATACCATAAAGAGATCCTGGATGATCTAGTCGCGAATCTCACTTCGGGGCAATGGAGAGTGAGGATGTCTTGCTGTAACGCACTCGCTGATTTATTGCGGTAAGTCACAATATGCATAACATAACATCACCCCTTTTATCCCCAAAGGGCTAGGCAGAGGTGCACACAGAAGTGATACCCACTTTTCGCTATTTATGTTATGATTCCCATATAATAGGGGGTGAGCCTATTGTCATATACCGGGCACATTTCTAGACTCCGTGTTACTACTGAGATTTTTTTTTAAACTCAAGACCCCTTGCCCGGCAGTCGCACTTGCGACCACTCGGCCAACGAACGACGAGGCAGTCTAGACGATATGCGTAAAGCAAATATCTTTATTTAAGAAATTACTGCATATAACATATTGTCAGTGACTATAAAATGTATTATTATTTTTCTTAACAATGGGGCATGAGATTCCATATAATCAATCAAGTCTATAATCATGGAAACTAACATAATATAACATCACGCCTTTTATCGCCGAAGGGGTAGGCAGAGGTGCACATTACGGCACTTAATGCCACTTTTCACTATTTATGTTGAGTCCCATGTGGGAGGGGGTGAGCTTATTGCCATATACCGGGCACAATTCCAGACTCCGTGCTACTACTGAGAATTTGGTAAAAAAGAAACTACTACTTGTTACTCATACCCAGTATAAATATTATAATTGTCTTAAAAGTTAATTGTAACATTGTATGAAAACCCACGTTACAAAATATCACCGAATACTGGAAGTTTAAAACACATGATGTTTATTGTACAGAGGCGCACAAAGTTTGCATCAGTCCCTAGACCAGTTGCCGACGATATGGTTGCAACTGTTCCGAGTGATGGACGACGTACACGAGGGGACCAGGCAGGCCGCCACCTCTACCGCCAATGTCCTGTCGAAGGTGCGTATCTTATTTTCTCTTGCTACAGTTGCTACTTTTTGAGTTGTACTTAAATATTTTTCTATCTCAGTCATTTTACAAAGAATTTGTAGCGACAGAACTGTACTTAAGCCCGAATTAAAATTGAGTGGTGTTCGACTATTTGGACATAAGGTACTCTAAACATTTTTACATGACAAGCAACCGACGTGTCTTTTTAGATACCTGCTACTTATTGAATAATTTAGTTTAGTGTATCTTACGACGTGAAATGTGGTTTGTACGATGCTTGGTAATAATAGTTTTCAGCTCAATAAAAACATGACATACTTAGTTTCTTAATAACAAGTGGGTACTTACGTTAATGAAGTCGCGCTGTATTCTTGCATGCATTTACCTCCTTTTTCAAAACTTACATACATTTTGTTACTGCTGGACTTAAATTCCTTATATCAATTGATACTAAACTCGTCAATAGTATTTAAAGCTAAGGATACACTAGGGGACAAATGTCCCACGACATATATCGGCAACATGTCAAGCGAAGCCTGCCGATTTCGCCCGAAATATTATTATAAAGCGAAAACGCGCGCCTTATGTTTATAGCAACGTTGATGTTGCCACACATGTCGACCAAAGTCTGGCAACGTCGCGCTACTCCACCCAATATCGCTGGCGAAGGAAAGGACATTTGTGATGTATCCTTGGCGTGAACCTATTCTTTTTTATCTTCTAGCTCTGTATTCGTGCGGCCGATGCTAACGCGGGCAAGGACGGCAAGGAGGTAGTATCCGTGATACTGCCAGTACTACTCGACACTGGTATTACTAACCTCGTCAAAGAAGTCCGCAGTGTCAGGTATGTAACGCAACATTAGTTTTTTTTATTGTAGTTATCTATATTTATCTCATGTTGAATAATTTGTTGGCATATTGTTAGTGAAGAGATGTATAGTTCAATTACCTCATAAGGAGGATATTGTTATGTTATTAAGTTGATATGATAACCTTCGCGATATCTGAAATGAATAAATAAAAAATAAAATAAAATAAAACTTTATTCATAATAACAAAATATATATACTTTGTTTATATGTTTTCATACTCATATTACATTAAATTTGTTTTGTGGAAATTTCAGTCTACAAACAGTATCAAAGCTAGTAACAGCAGCAGGAGAAACACTAAAACCGTTCCTAGCTCGCCTCATCCCCGCACTAGCGGGCGCGGCCGGCGAGCTAGAGTCCGCGCGACTGTCCTACCTCGCCACTGCACTCGCTGACACATCGTCACGCGACCTACTCGACGATATGCGAGCTAGCGCCGCTAAACATCATTACACTACTGATACTGTTGTCAAGGTACGCTGTCTTTATTTAGCATTTCACATCAGCAGCCTGTAAATGCCCACTGCTGAGCAAAGCCTCTTCTCACACGGAGAAGGTTTGAGCATTAATCACCACGCTTGGTCAATGCGGGTTGGCGATTACAAACTTATAATTAGAAATTATAAGCTGAGGTTTCCTCACGATGTTTTCCTTCACCGTTTGTCAGTTGTGTCTAGATAATCTTAGAGAGTACATGTAACTCGGAAAAGTCACATTGGTACTTGCCGTTGGTAGGTTTTGAACCCTCCGGGCCACCACGACATTAATTTATTTAGCATTTGTTTAGTTTTTATTGATCTGATGAGAGATTCAGTTGAATCAAGTCATGACCCAGAGTCAGCGCTGATCTCAAACTATATCGTTGGAGAGGTAATAAATTGAGGTAATTTTAGGAGGAAATACCAGATTAACAAATCTGATATTTAAAATATGCTTGTTTAGGTTTACTGATTAATTTATGTATGTAGTTTATGTCAATAAGAGCAAGTAATTTGCGATAAAAGCACACTATTAACCAACCGAACCAATGTAACTGTAAAGTTTCAATCATCACGACATACATTTTAGCCCATAATTTAACTTGTCTCCCCAGTGTATGCCATACGTGGACATAGAAGTGATGAAAGAAATGCTGCCTAAAATCCTCGAGCTGATGAAGTCTCCTCAACTTGGTACCAAAGTGGCGTGCTGTCATTTCGTAGTACTGGCGGCACATTACTTGCGCGCTGACCTAGAACCCGTCGCCGGGAAGATCATGTCCAACCTACTGACTGGAACCTTCGACAGAAATGCCACGGTTAGGAAGAACTATGCTGAAGCTTTGGGACAAGTCTCTGCTTATGCTAAGGTAAGACATTGCTTGGTTTAATGGTATATATAATATACATACTTTGTTTTTTAATGTGAATGTTTTGGAAGGTTATTTCTTATTTATAAACTAGATGACCCGGCAAACTTGGTACTGCCTAAAAAAAATTATGCTCGCCTTTTAAACCTTCCCTGGACTTCCACGAAGGTTTCAAAACCAAAATTAATCAAATCGCTTCAGCCGTTCTCGAGTTTTAGCGAGACGAACAAAAGTTCATTTTTAGTTACGTACATTTTTAAAGGTCTCTTTCCCCTTAATATATATTCTTTTAAGTTAAATGTTTTGTAAAGTTTTTTATAAATAATTCCCTAAAAACTCTTTGTTCTTTAAAATACTCCCTCATTGTCGATTATCCTCATATTTTGCAAATATGGCAACTAGAAAACAGTAACTTAATCGTTGTCTTCTTACCTGCGTAGTATGCAGTGCATACTTATTAACTTGACTGACCGTTTCTTATTATTTATTTACAAAATACACGAGTTGTTATAGTGAAATCATCCCTTTATATACCAAATCCTACTATCCAGGTCCAATCAGCAGAGAAATTGATGAAGAAATTGGTGACGTTGTACGAGACGAAGGAGGATGATATGTCGCGGTCAGCCATCGCGCTCTGTCTCAAGTCTATATCTAAGGCCAAGATAGAACATATCAAGGACAACGAGGATGTGTTGGCGCCCATGGTGTTCCTGGCCATGCATGGGCCTAAGGACGATGGTGAGGGAAATTTGTATAGAATATTATAATATATATTTTAATAATAGTAATAAGTTGTTTTAACTAGGTAATGGTCCAATTATATTTAACATTTTATTCTCTCTAGATTCATCAACAGTAGAGATGTTCGAGGAGATATGGACAGACATCAGTCCGGCGCGGGAGAGTGGTATCAAGCTACATCTCACTCTCATACGTGAGGAGATAGAGAAGTGTCTCAATTCCAGTAGCTGGACTAAGAAGATTCAGGTACATATAATATAACTTTTTGTATGTTGAAAGTTGCGGGTATAATGTGTTTTATACCGGGAGCCGGTGTTTCAACAGATAAAAGGATAATATAATAAGCTGTCTTATACCTACATCGCGCATGTCAAAGTTTGCTCGCGAATTACATTGCATATTTATCTAACCGTAAAGACATAAGGGGGAAAGGTTGGTTTCACTGTTAAGTTTTAGATCTTTTGGGTGGAATGTGGAAACTTATTAATAATATTTTTATTATTTATTTTAGTATAACTTACAACTAAATAAATACAATTCGCGAAAATCCATACAGTAGCTATGGTAAAAATTTTCCACAGACACTACAATTTCTCTTTTCTGTTTTGAAAGGGTGCACTTCTTGTCTAAAGAGCCATACCCTTGGGAGACTTAACCATTTCTTAAATTTTAAATAATCTCCCAATTTTGTCTGTATTTTTCTAGTACCTTTGTTTCATGTACAACGTGTGGTACAGGCGGCGGACGCAATAAAGACAGTGTGCAAGGAGGTGTCCCCGGGGCTGGGCGCGCACCGCGAGCTGCTGGCGCGCGCCGCGCTGGCCGCGCTGCACGGGAAGACCTTCGGGGGGAAGGAACACCTCGTCATGGCACTCGCAGACCTGTGCGCGTCAGTATCATTCTTACATTCACTAATAGAATGTCTAAAATTCAAAGTTATTTACGTAATTATTTCTAAAAACGGTAACTAATAATTGGAAGTTATTAATCAAAGTATAACACATTTATTAGTTTTCTTAAATGTTTTGCACGTAGCAGTAGTCTCTAATACTTAAAGGTTAAATTGGTAATATTACTTGTGCTACAATATGAGCAAAAAGAAAATGCTTTGAAAAAAAAATGTATTGTTCTCGCAAGCAAAATTGTTTAAACGTTATTTTAATAACAAAACACTAATTATGCTATAAATACAAATGTAGATCTCTTCAATAACTCCATATTCTATATCACAGTGTAAAAGAAAACGAGCAGCCATTATCACAGGCCTTAGCGTCGGAAGTAATAAATGCCCTCTTAGTGGAAAGTCGCAAGCAGGACATGACGTACAAACGACACGCCATCACTGCATTAGGAGACGCCATACAAGCCACGCACTGCGACCGATTCCAACAACTATACGATATAGTTAAAGTTATATTATCTAAGGTAAGATAATCGAAATTGAGGTTTGATTCTTTATGTTCTGTGAATTTGTAAATTCTTATTATAAGTCTTTACAGAGTTGTTACCAAACACCTTTTTATTTCATTTTGAGAATAGGTTATATAATGGTTTGAAGTTTAAATACCACTGTTGATATAACGAAAAGAACTATATAACAGTGATGCTAATTTTGAGCAAAATATAATAAAACATAAACAATCAGCCGAACATAGTACCTCCTTGTTATGAAGTCGGTAAAAATTTAGTTATTGGATCCTTTAGAGTGGATTTTATTGCTTGTATATTCAAGCAAGCAAAGTACAATATAAAATCGACCTTATTCTCTAAACAGGACGAACTATCAGTCGGCAAGGAATCAGACGAGGAGGACAATGAAGGCGCCAGACAGCGGCGAGAACAGCTGACTGCTTTGAAGGAAGCTGCTTATGAACTACTGGGGAAAGCTTGGCCTAAGGAACCTGACACACAAGGTGAGTTAGTTTAGTACTGTGTGACTTGTAAAATATGTTAAAGGTAAAAGGGAGATGGAGAGATCTGTTTGACGAAGACAAACAGCGTAAGCTCGTTTTCATACAAAGACAATAGTGGACTCAGTATGTCCAGCCTTTGTTGAGAATTTTCTAGACCAAGAAATGCTTAGTACTATTTTGTTCGATTCAGAAATGGAATCCGTATCTTGTTGGGCAGTAACACTTGCAACCTCTCGACAAAAGAAGTTGAGAATAATCAACCATAACAAAAATAACATTAATTCAAAGTTCGAACGTTTTTATTAAATTAAAATGTATATTTCTCAAAAATTTTTTTTCACTACAGAGAAGTACCAAGACTTATTCTTCGAGCACTGTTCGAAGTCTTACCCAACGAGTTCTCGATCGACACAGCTCGCCATACTAGCGTCAGTGACGCGAGTACTCGAGCGATTGGCGATACTGGCCAATGTAGGGGAACCCATGGAGACCGACAACCCTACCAACAGGGACAAAGCCATCGCCACTGTTACTGGACATGTCACTCTCATCATTGACTATACGTTGCGTGAGTATTTGTTCGACATTTTATTTATTACTGAGTTGTTCCAGCGGTATCTCTCGTGTGGGATTTAGAAATACTGATGAGTCACTGAAAGTAGATGACATAAATTAATCATTTTCTAAATTAGGATTTGTAAGCTTATCTACGTTTTAATTCTGTGGTTTCATTGCTTTATATTTCGCCACCAAAATGTCGAGTCTTTTCGTGTTGTAATTTGTCTTTACATTGTGCATTTGTTTACAGAAAATAGCAATCAAGTAAGACACAGGAGAGACGCTCTCAATATCATGGAAATACTAGTGAAACAATTAAAAGGTAATCATTTATACATTTTTAAAGAAAAATATCTCAATTATATATTCAAAAATTTGTCTTTTGTTTTAGTCTGCAAGACCAACCGCCCTGTGTGCGTTACCCAGGCCAGATGTTGTCGAAAGTGGTCATTTGAATCTTATTCCCATTAGAAAGAAAAAGGTCTGGCTGGGGTAACGTTACCCCAGCAGGAAATGTTTTTGTGAAATAATTAAAAACTATAAGTGCAATAAATTTAAAATTGTGCGCAACAATTACAGAAGCCAAAAGTCAAAAAGTCAAAAGTCAAAATCATTTATTTCAATTAGGCCAGAATGGCACTTTTGAACGTCAACAAAAACAAAAATTTAAAGTGAAGCTATTTGCTCATTCCAAGGCGTAGATTCCTATGGAGAAGAACGAGCAAGAAACTCCATAGGTTACTCTTTTTCAATCAGGTTCACAATACAATTTACTAGTTACATAGTTTTGCTGTTTGGATTGTGCGAGAACAATGTAACACTAAAATCCAGTCAAAGTGATCAAAAAAGAAAATAACCTTAAGGACAGTAATACAGTCTGGAGCTGACCAGTCCCAGTTGACGGCGCCCGTTCACGAACATGACACGTACACCAGCACCGCCCAACTCAACCATATTGTAGGGAATCGAGCGATCCACTGCACGCGCCACCGCCAATGAGACCTTTGAGTGAGCATGACAACTCCAAGCTGACACAAATGAAATCTACTAATCTAATTTAATATTAAGTTAATTACAGGGCTCTCACATTTACAATGGTTATCTAAGTTAAACAATATACAATTTAGCAATATGGCTGTATTATTTACGATTTCATTAAAACAAGTGTTTTTTAGTTATCCTGTGGAGCCGGACTAGCCTGCATCCAAGCATTTTTATCCTCTATATATTCATTAAGTTTGTAATATGCTTGTCTACATAAAGTTTTCTTTATACATAATTTAAATTTCGATTCATTTAGTTGTTGTACATCGCCTGGTATCTTATTATAACATTTAACACAGAATCCCATGAACGACTTACTTACTTTCGCTAATCTCGAAATTGGCTGACTTAATCTATTCTTATGTCTAGTTTGATAGTGGTGTCTGTCCGACACTTTACCAAATAACTGTAGGTTTTTCCTAACATACATAATGAAGCCACACAACTAATTATCTATAAGATTCAAATGACCATTTTCGACAACATCTGGCCTGGGTAACGCACACAACCGCCCTTGATGCAGATTTTGAGGTTAGATTTAAATATTAAAATACCTGCATTTCTTCCAGATCTCAACAAAACAGAAGAATTAGATAAGCTGAGAACGATATACCAGACGTACGCACAGGATCTGTCGAAAGACTCGTCGCACGAAATACGAACCAAAGTGGATAATATCAAAGTGCATTTTAAATAGTACACGCTACTTCTATTTATTGTCGTGACGATAACACTAAATAAAGTTATTCTACAAAACTTTGTTGTTTTATTGCTGTCTCATATAATATTCTTATTTTAATAGCGCAAAGTGGTGCACGCAATGTCTTTTTAAAATGATAATTGTTTCACACAAAAAAAGTACTTATTCCTAAAAACGACATTGACCTGAGTAAATATTCTAAGAGCTAAGAGACGACATTTCTTTCTAAAATATATTATTGTAAACATTCTGACATTATAAAAAAAGTATGATCCCTTCAGCTTATTACCCCTTCTTATTCTTTATTGTTTCTAAAAGTCAAGCAATATGGTAGTGTTTATTATTCGACACTGCAATTTTTTTAAGTGCAAGCGCAGTGTATTGTTGTCTTTATTGTTTCCCACCAACAAGGTAGACAGATTACATGATAAAGGTTGCAGAGATGAGGGAAACGCTGAACGCAGTGTGCATTACCCAGGCCAGATGTTGTGGAAAATGGTCATTTGAATCTTATAGATTATTAGTTGTGCGGCTTCTGTAATTGTTGCGCACATTTTTAAATTTGTTGCACTTATAGTTTTTTAATTATTTCACAACAACATTTCCTGCTGGGGTAACGTTACCCCAGCCAGACCATTTTCTTTCTAATGGGTATATTTAAATAATTACAGCACGATGAAAAGACGACGTGAAAACCTAGCAGTTGCTTCGTCGGATCTTAATAAAAAGATCATGAAGCAGGTAAGACGTGACCTCCGGTGCTCCAAAACACGCGCTATAAAAGGAGCGATCGAGCGAAATCGTGGGTCAAAAGTTTTCATCCAGCAACTAGGTCGAAGCCATCGGACTAAGCTGACCACATCTGAGGGAAAAGTCGTCGCTTCTGGGCCGGAGGTTCAGCGCTTCTACGGTGATCTATATGTGTCACAAGCACCCCAACCTCAATCATACTCGGGGGATCCCAGGGCCACACTTGTCCGCCACTTCACTGAAGAGCTGCCTGAAGTCAATCAAGACGAGATCGTGGTGGCTTTGGGGCAGCTTAAAAATGGAAAAGCCCCCGGTGAGGACGGAATTACGACGGAGCTCCTTAAGGCAGGGGAAAAACTGAATAAATAACTCGTCGATAGGAGTGAGACAAGGGAATGTTATATCCCTCAAACTGTTCATAAATGCTATGGAGGATATGTTCAAGACACTGCATTGGAAGGATTTTAGAAGGTACCATAATGTTCTGCGTTTTCGCTTTTTCTTAACCACCTAAAGTTGGTCGGGTTACCACGGTCATTCACTTCCTATTGACTTTAATCGTATTATCTCATTCATTTTCCAATGTACTGAGCTGATTTTACTGATATACAACTGAACTAAATAACTAATTATTGACATAACATTCAGCTCATATATCCAATCCAGGTGCCAAATAACACCGCGCGCATCAAGACCGTGCTCGTGAAGAACTCAATATCATCGTAACTTGTTAAATACTTATATAATGAAACTTCACATACATTTAAAGGCAGTTAAAAGCTTTAAAATAACGTTTAAAGTAAGTCTTTAGAACTTTTATTGAGAGTGCTGGGACAAATTGAAGTGTTTTTCTATTTAATGAAATAATCTTTATGCTATGTATGATTTTGTTTTTTTTTTTTATTGCAGAACAAATTTAAACTAATTACTAAGAAGCCATGTACAAAATATGATAAGAATGCGCTAACCATTTCAAATATCTAGCAAAACCAAAAACGTTACCCCAGTGAAATCTCGAATAACTATGCAACTGATGAAAGAGCAAATACAAAATAAGGCACAACATTTACTTCATCTAGACAACTAATTTTATAGCTAGTAATTATTTAAATATTATTATTAAAAAGAAAAAGGTCTGGCTGGAGTAACGTTACCCCAGCAGAAAATGTTTTTGTGAAATAATTAAAAAACTATAGGTAAGCGCAACAAATTTAAAAATGTGCGCAACAATTACAGACGCTGCTAATCTATAAGTTTCAAATGATCGACATTTGGCTTGGGTAATGCACATCTGAGCGCAGATTACCTTCAACTGGAATTGATTGTAAAAGGCCTTGGTTTAATAGTGGATGACTTGTGGTCAGTATGATGATGGTAAATGGTGATGAAACTATTTCATAGGAAATCCTTACTCCTTACTTATATTGAATTACTTAAAGTGAGTTTGTTTGTTTGTTCCACCTTCACGCCGTAACTACTCAACCGATTGCTTTGAATTTTTGCAGACGTAAAGTTAGATTTCCGGATTAAATAATAGGGTACTTTTTATCCCGGGAAAAAAATGATATTCTCGAGGAAAAACGAATTTATTGGTATAGATGGCGCTGTGTGTATTGGTATATGTCACATAGGCTACTTTTTATCCTTTTGTGACGCGAGCGAAGCCGCGGGTAAAAGCTAGTATGTATATAAGCCTCGAACACCGGCGTAAGGTTGTAAGTCTTTCGATTTTCTACCAGATACATTTCATATTACCAGTGAGTGTGCGGGGGAATTGCACAATTTGATTTCCCCTAGTTATTTCCATCATCGTACCACAAGACAATCGGCGAAGCGTCACGGATTCATGGTAGATCTCCCATCTACACGCACTAAGCGCTTCGCATCAAGCTTCCTTGTGCGTACTGCTAAGGAGTAGAATTCTTTGCCAGTCTATATTTCCTGAAGGGTATAACCTGGGTGTCGTCTAGGCCCGAGTGAATAGGTTGCTTATGGGCGACGTGCTCCATAGTAGACCGCATCATCGCTTACCACTAGGCGAGATAGTGGTGAAACGGCCCATAAAATATGTAAAAAGTTTTTGTTTCTAGGCGTTATAAGTTGTTTTGCAGCGGGACAAGTAAAGGAATTGTTAAGTTGATACTTATATTTATTCTTGTATTTTATTTAAGGGTTTAAATAATACACCAGATAACAATATCACATCAGTGTTTAATGCTATTGCATTAAATAAACCTATGGAATGAAATAAAGTATACAATAACAAAAATATTAGTTAGCATAAAAACATTTACTTACAATAATAGATAAGTAACTATTTATGTACACACAAAATAAGATATAATTTATTAAATAATATTCGTTTTTAATGCAAGCGAAGTTTACAGCGTTTTGATATAATAATCTCAATAAAATAAAAACAATATTTTTGACAATTAAACTGCATAATTTTACTCGGATAAAGAGATGACAAGGGATGTTTCGACAATTTTGTATGAAGATTAAACTTTAGTCTGTAATTGTTTTAATATGTATATGAAGGTGTACGTGATCTTAATTTAGGTTTTATTACTGCACATAGTTTTTGACACTGGTTAAGTAGATACATTTTGAGTCGATAAAATCGATATTTAAGATAAGTTACTGAAACTTAACTCGTTGAGTACCGTCATTATAGACACAATTAAAGAACAATAGGTTGCGGTCATCGGTGACCGCTCAGTGTTTGACAGTTTAATAGCCATAGTAATTTCTTAACACGATTTTACAAATAACGTAATACTTTAAAATCCTGGAACAATGCCTCCTAAGGGCCCTATTTCATTAGTGGACCACTGTCGCATATAAAATAGGGCTCTTACAGTCAAATATTGAAATATTTACATTCTATAATGTGTACATTAAGGTTCATTATTAAAAATCCCTTGTCGAGACATACAAACATGAGCTTCCAGGGTTAAGATCTGTCAAAATTTCAGAAAATATTAAGTATTATTAGTGTAGAATTATAGATTAATTAATTAACAATAGCATAAGTTTATGACACACTTCGAAAAAATATTGAAATGTGCATTAGGCCATTATAAAAAGGATAATATAGAAAGTTAGTTGTGTGCGCTTAAGCACGACATAAAAATAATAGGTGCCGACATGTAAACTGGTGATCTAACATATTATGCCACGTTAGAACTAAACTACCCTTAAAGCCCGGTTCCTAGGTCTAAAAAACTATTTTTTACTAAACCTACCAATTTAGTAGCTTTTTGGTAAATTCTACAGTAGAAATTTATTTTCATGATAGTAATATTTGTGGGACGATAGGAAATAGTTGTTGATCTTGGAACTATGCTAGCTGCGATTATGAGTTTAGGAATTAAGGATGTTCGCAAGTCTTATGGCTAAACCAAAAACTTAAATACATTATTATTTAATACAGTGGCAATAATTTCGTGCAATTTGTAGTCAAAGCTAAGATTCCGTAAATTGTACAACTAAATCATAACTTTACGTGACTCGATATACTACCGTAACACACTAATGTACCCTTTTTATAAAGAGTTGTTCTTATTTATTGCAATAAAGACTAGGAAATAATAAGTTTGATATTGTTGAGAATATTAAAAACTTTTTTACAGTAAGCATTGACTATTATTTATTAATATAATTTTATAAATAAGTTTTTCTATGAAAATGTATCAATTGCAAGCTACTTAAGGGATTAAAATTCGAATATTGCATTATAGGTTTCACCGAATTAATGTTAATTATATAAAAATGTAAGCCGTATATTATATTTGTACCTAAAATAAAATAATTGTAACTAACGTTCACATTTCACGCTTGCCATACATTCAAATACATTTAATATACTGTAATCATTATCTAACAATCACATAAATCTAATTAAAATAACTTAATTGACCTATTTTTGTGAAGGTGTTGCCATTTATGAGAAAAAATAAGCTACCATATATTTCAAAACTATAATAAGTAAGAGAGAAAATAAAACGTAATATGGGACATTTTACTAAAATATTTTTTATCATCAATGCATTTAAATATTAAGTGAAACTGAAGTATACTGTTATTTAAGGTCTCCAAACTGTACATCACTTTACACATAAGTAAAAACTCTTACCTTATTTCGAGACAATTCAAACCCTATTGCTTATAAATTAGAATGACAATACCTCAACAAAAACTTCGACAGAATTACCTATTGATATTATATTGCACTTTATACATCGTCAAACAATCCCCGAGGTGGGATGGTCATTTTGTCCCGGCGTCGGTCGTCATACTCGCTTCGTATGGACGGCAAGGTACTTTCCCCGAAGCGATGGTCCAGTTCATCTTCAAGGGTAAGGTTGGACCTGTTGTAGGGTAGCTCTGCTCGTTGGTAGGCTGACAGCTGTGGTTGATTACGTTCAGGACTCGGTTGTACGTAGTAGTCTGAGTCCACGTCGTTGAGAAGCCCAGTGTGGGCTGAAAAGTGAGCAACATGCACAATAACCGATAACATTAATGATGATAGGAAAGAAGGGTCTGTTTGTTTAGCTCTTGGTACTGTTACTAGAATATATGGGTGATAGTAAACTACGGTACAATAGTTTCAATTAAAATAAATAGGGGTTTTTCTTCGATTTAAAGAACTTTATTTTCTGCTACATTTTTTTACATTAGACATTTTATGTCAATCGACTTCTTGTAGTCGTGTGCGTTACCCAGGCCAGATGTTGTCGAAAATGGTCATTTGAATCTTGTAGATAATTAGTTGTGGGGCTTCTGTAATTGTTGCGCACATTTTTAAATTTGTTGCGCTATATAAAAAACTATATTTTAATTATTTCATAAACACATTTCCTGCTGTGGTAACGTTACCCCAGCCAGACCTTTTTCTTTTTAATGGGAATATTTAAATAATTTCTAGCTATAAAATTAGTTGTCTAGATGAAGTAAATGTTGTGCCTTATTTTGTATTTGTTCTTTCATCGGTTTCGAAGTTATTTGAGATTTTGCTGAGGTAACGTTTTTGGTTTTGCTAGATCTTTGAAATGGTTAAGCGGATTCATACCATATTTTGTACATGGCTTCTTAGGAATTAGTTTAGATTTGTTATCTAAATTTTATATCTGCAATAAAAAACCAAAATAATATATAGCTTAAAAGTTATTTAATTAAATAGAAAAACACTTTAATTGGTCCCAGCACTCTCAATAAGAGCTCTAAAGACTTACTTTAAACGTTGTTTGTCTGGCTGGGGTAACGTTACCCCAGCAGGAAATGTTTTTGTGAAAAAATTAAAAAACTATAAGCGCAACAAATTAAAAATGTGCGCAGCAATTACAGTAGCCGCACAACTAATTATCTATAAAATTCAAATGACCATTTTCGACAACATCTGGCCTGGGTAACGCACACGTTGTAGTCTTTACTATTAAAACTAAGGAATGTAAATGCAACAAATTATAAAACTTTAGTTACATGCCAGCATTTCGATTATATTTTAAGCAATCAAATTGCATACTTTTTTTTTTTAATAAAAACAGTTTTAAGCATACATTCGAGTGATAGCAAAATAAAGACACTAACTAAATAGCATAAAGTTAAACTAAGTGTTACTCTTACTGGGAACTACAGCAATACCAAGAGCAGTGACACACAAACAGAACAAGTATAGTTGTTAGTATTGTTATAAAGAAAAGGCGATTGCGAAGTTATAATTAAGAACATAATGGGTTTATAGTAGATTATTGATGATACAGATGTCGCTATAATGGTATGAAGCTTCCTTTTAATTTTAAAGATTAATTCGCCATTATAGTAAGGATTCAACGATTTTTTATAAAGATATTCTGGATGAAACAAGAAAACTTTGACGAAGTTTGCAAAAACGTTGCCCCACACTAGGATTTTCTTCTGTGTCGTGGGTGCGTTTACAAACATACAAGTTCACATACACAATGACACCCAGACCCGAAACAACAATTCGTGGATCACACAAAGAGTTGTTCCGTGCGGGAATCGAACCCGCGACACGTTGCACGGCAGCCGGTTGCCCAGCCATCGCACCAACCGTGCAGTCAATATTATATGTAGTTAACTAAAAAAATCGGGAGTTATTCACGTGAATAACGTGAAAATACTGAGAAAAGTTACTCGTTTAGAAACAGAGGGGTTCATTCTCATGAGCAGTGTGCGCGGTCGCGGCGATGTCGTGCAGCCTACTAGGCTAGTATGAGGAAGAAACTCTATTGGAAGAAACTAGTGGAGCTTATCTCAGTATTTTCACGTGAGTAACCCGCGATTGTTAGTTAATGTAGTAAGTCTCACGATAGTTATTATACAAAATATTGTAGCGTTTTCTGTACTACGAACGTAAAAGTTAATTGATAATTATAAATTGTATTGGTTTGTCGTATTACCTCCATCCTGAGCGTCGCGCGCCGACCTGTAGTTGGAGAACCTCTCGCTGTAGTCGCGGCGACGAGTCAATGATTCTTCGGCGCGTTGGCGCTTGCGTTTCTCTGTCGAGAATATTTGTTTAATACATATATCATGCCAGAGTTGGTCTGTTGTTTAACAGAAGTTGATGTGTTTGTGACAATAGCAAGTAAGTAAATTATTTGCGTAATACATTGGTGTAAATATTATTATTATTACAGTAGCTAAGCATTTTCGCTAAGATAAAACATAGCATGCAAAAATTTGTTATTTTGTAAATTAAATAGAGAATTAATATTGTTCTGTTTATTAACTTTTCAAACACAAGGATACAAAACTCCAGTGGTTTAGAAGACCAATGACAACAATTTTTAGAGAAATGAAATAAAAAAGGTATATTATTATTAATACTCCAATTTCTCCATTTCTACATTTTCGACTTTATCATCTAGTAGATAAAGTCTAATATCAATTGATTAATTGAAGATTAACTTAAATTGAAGTTTGGATTATGTAATGTTACAAACCTCGTTTCACAATCTCCCGTCCTTCGTCAACAAGGTCGGAGGTGAGTTCATCGTCCCCCACGAACTGCTGGAACCCGCAGAGCGACAGCAGGCGGCTGCCGAGCGAGAAGTACGTCGCCACGCACAGCAACACCACCAGCATCGGGAAGTAGATGTTGAACCCCTCCGCTATGATGCCCAGCACGTCCATGTGGCCCATTATCTGTACCATGCAAGCAATTATAAATGACTAGCTGTTGCCCGCGACTTTGTCTGCGTAGAATATTATTCATGTTTTATCCTATGAGAGCATTTAATGGGGATAAAAAGTATCCTATCACCTAGGTCAGCATACCCTGCCTGTATACTAAATTTAATCAAAACCCGTTCAGTAATTTCAGTGTTATTGACGGACAAACATCCAAACAAAGAAACTTTCACATTTATAATATCAGTGTGATTTGAATGAGAAAAGAGTTTGTCATAGAAAAAAAAAACTCCGATGGAAAAAAACTCGAAAAATACGGCAATGTGTTAACATTGCCTACTCAAAATTGCTTGACGAATTCGGACTTGAATGTGATGATAACTACATCAACAACGTTAATCACGATCAAGACACACACTATGGTCAACGAATATTTAATAATATTAGATCCGAACATTATTTTCAATTTTATAACAAAACAATAGAGTTGAAAGATGCACGAAAAACATATAAATTGGAGTACCTTTACAAGTCGCTGTAGTTGCTGGAGAGAAGTATGTAAACATAGGACACTAAACGTCCTTTTATACTACGATAGTAACAGCATGGTGGCGTCTATCTATATTATTATTATGTAGCCGTACCTGCGTATAATAAGTCTCCATGATGCTCTTCTTAATGACGTGTGAGTCCATATGTATCAAACTGAGGAAGTTGAGACACATAGCGGGAGTCAGCCGACAGACCATCATCCCGGAGAAGATGAGACTGTACTCATTGGTCTGGTGGTGAGGGGCCAGGTAGTAGAGGTTCAGGAGACGGATCTTCAACACGGTGGAGTACGCGCAGTAGAACATGTACGCTATTATTATTGTTGATATTGCCTGTGGCGGGAGGAAATTAGTTAGGGTATAATTATTACTGTGGATTATGTTCGAAAGCGTGACTTCTGAACAAGTTGAAGTGTAGCCTCGTATGTAAAGTATAATTAAGTTTATTTTTGCAGTAATACAGTGAAACCTGGTTAAGTGAGACATCAAGGGACCTGCAATGCCGTTTCACTTATAGAAGTATTCCACTTACCCAGTGTCTCAGATATACAGGTATAAATAAATATTTGTCTCATTTACAGAGGGTTCCATTTATAGAGGTGGACTTGGAATTACGTATTGAATTTGTGGGTAGAATAAGAATGAGTAAACAAACAATGTTATCTCAGTTACAGAGGTTTATGCATATAAAATTTACTCGCTGTCTCAGTTATAGGGGTAACAAGATGATAAATCGAAAGAACAAATCCCAGATATAGAGGTTTACCTCGTCCCACTAACAGAGGTAATTCAGTGCCAAAGTGTTGGGACCTTAGCATGAGTTCCAGTTATGGAGGTTTCTCACTTATCCAGGTCCCACTTAACCAAGTTTCACTGTAATAGGTAGGTGCGTTGTGCTACTACTTCGAATTCCTTTAAGTTTTAACTTGTTTCTTACGAGAATACAAACTGTAATTCATACACCAGTCATTTAATTACGATAATAGTACGATACTATTATAGTATGTATTCACGTAACGTTGGGGACTCACCTCGATAGCCATATAATTATAAGAGTCGGTAGCTGCGATGACGATGTTAGCGAATATCGATAGCACGGGCTTCTTGCAGAAGAAGGTCATTTCTGACCAGACGACGGCCACAGACATTATGCCGGTGATCACAGCCATTGTCTTCAAGAAGTACTGGCGCAGGAAACACTCCCAGTACCATTCTGAAAGTGATTAATTATAATTATGTAACTTTAAATTCCTATAACACAAAAACCTGTACCTGTTTGGCACCAAGTATAATTTTAGCGTGTATAAATTAAAAAAAAATCTATCTAGGCAATTTTAGTTTTAATGATTAATGTTCTATAGACTAAAAAGAAAATTTTATAAGTCCTTTCTGTTTCGAAATTATCTTACCAACGATTGGCGGGTAGAATATCCGTTGTAATCTTGGCCGTGGCGTGTGGAATGTGTGTTGGAACCGATGGTCTGGGGAGCGCTGGTTAGCGGCGACATCCTCGAGGTGGAAGATACGTTCCAACATCAGGCCCCATTGCGTCTCCGTACGTTGCAACACGTGAAGAGCTTTGATAGTCTAATAACATAATTATGAAAAACAAGGTGAGCCCAAAGTAGAACCCTGTGGAACTCCTATCAAACTGTATGGCTTTTAGACAAAAATCTGAATAAACATGTAAGTACAAGTATTAATGTTATGTTTGTTTAACTTAAGAAGAAAAAAATCTTCTCAAAGCAAGTTCATAGCACTAAGTAAAGAAAGAGTTTTGTGCAATTTGTTATCTAAAGCCTTAGACAAGTCAGGGATGTAGTCGAAAATTCTTTTATAGTTTACCTTCTTGTGTAAATTGACAAGTGACTTCAAGGATGGTGGTGTTGGTCTATCAGGTGGTGCGCGTCCATTGAGTCTGTCTCGTAGTTGTATCGGCAACTTCTGTACGATGGTGTCGACATGACGGTATAGAGGATGGCCCGATCCTACTGCTGCTGTCACTGCTTTTAGACTCTGAAAACATTTTAATTTATACATATGATTGTTGAGTTGCGTTGTATTGGTAGTATTCGGTAAAACTACATAATAAAGTATGCCCAAATCACAATTACATCTTATTTAACCCTTAAAACCTGCATCGGACAAAGTTTTCGCGATCTCTTTCTCGGCAGTCACATTAGCGACTAGGTATTTCAATGTGTTTTTTATTAACACATTAAACGCCACGGTCACCGGTGACCGACGTAAGCGAAGGATTTGCCTTCAATAGTTTTTTATTGGCAGTCAAAACCTTAAAGTAATACAATTCTTTTTTAATTTTTAAGTTTCTTAGTACCCATAATTTTTTTAAAGCAATAAACCAGAATGGTTTATATGACACTTTACTTCAAAGTGTGTTTATATGTCATTGTGATCTGATTAGATGCTGATAAAAATGTTTATCCTTATTCTAGCCACAACTGTGTGATAAATGTTATCTATTTTTACCTATCCAATACAAACCTTTATTTATTTTGCAAAAAGAAGGTTGATGTCTGCTTTGTGGGATTAGGTTGATAGAGGTGACTTTTTGTTGTTTAAATAAATAATTATAATTATTGTGTTCTATTCTTAAAATTCTTTATAATATAGTGCAGCTTTGCATCACAAAATAGATAGATTAGAATGTGTGGTGGGATTAAGAGTTCAAAGCTTATAAATAACTCAAGTCCAAAGTATGGGTTCGTCTAGTCAACCTTTAGTAGAATAATAGAATGGTCTAGTTCTACAAATCTGATATAAAGTTGGTATCATGATAAACACCTATCAAAAATAAGCTTATGATGCACAATTTCTATATCAATCAGAGTAAAATTACTTACATCCAAAATATCATCAACAGTTTCTTCAGCTTCACACTTATCAGTACTCAGCTTAGCAATCTTGAAGTAGCAGTAGGTCAAAGTGTAGTTCTTCTTTGAATTATTCCAGAGGTTTCTAGGCACTTCTACGAGAGCATATCCGAGGAGCAGAATTAAGAGGAACAGACCCCACGTGTTACTGGCTGATGATGCTATGATCTTTATTTTTGGAGGATCTAAGTGCACATCAGGTTTTAAGGCGATGTATATAAGTAGTATGCCGCATATGAAGAGGTATGAACCATAGTAGATGGCATTGTCGACTAGAGCAGATTTCAGTTTGCCTTTTACGGTGAAATCGCCAGCTTTGCTGTATGACTGCATCATAGGCATTATTAGCCTGAAATAAAATAAGAGTTAGCATTGAAATTAGATTATTGAATTAGACAGGATGTAGGTCAGACAAAATTTATTTATTATAAATGATAATATGGCCAGTTAGTAGAAATTTATTCAAAATTAATGATTCATTTGCATATCAACTTGTTATCTACTATTGTAATACTACTCATATTATAGTAATGTATTATTCATATATTCTAAAATTCTTAACTTGTTTTATCTAAATAATTTATGTACCTTTTATAAATTAAATGGTATCACTACCTAAACTGTTACTTAAGGCATCTTGTAAATATAAGGAGATTTGGTGATAGCAGCCAAACAACATGATTTTATCTAATAACAATTATTTATTTTTAAGATAAAGGTATGAATGTGTCTTTTTATTCAAACATATTATGTGAACAACATATGATGCACGTTAGTAGTACCTGGCTGCAGTTTGTAGATTTTATGGATCTTTTCAAAATCTCATGCTGATATACTCAAACACTACTCAATTTTAAGTCTCCCTTAATTGTAATTCTGTCACTAAAAATTCTTTGTAAAATGACAGAGATGACACGCTATTTAAGCGCGACTTACGACTTTTCAGTATTTTGGCGTCAAATTAGTAGTTGCAGCAACATGGTAAAATTTTATAGAGAATGTATGACTATTACCCTCTTGACTAAACTATGACACACAATAGAAACTAGATTGTGACTCGTTTAACACATTGGATGCCGAGTCAGACAATGAAGACCTACTCTAGTGGACGATTCGCTTTTAACAATTTTTGTTGTACACAAAACAAGTTTTTTACAACTCACCAAGTAAGACATTGTGAGGTCCAGTATACAATTCTCCAGAGATTAGGGAATACATCGGAGCTCATGAAACTGTAAGGCTTGATACACTCAGTAGCTGGTGGGGCAACAGTTGTTGTAGCATTCTGTAGTAGTGATTGTGTTGTTTCTGTTACTTTCGTCGCATTCTCCATACATTGCCGATACACAGTCTGTTGGTAATTAAAATATAACAGTAATTGCATTAATTGGGTATGGGTATTCTGATACAAGATAATCTATGGGTAGGAAATTAATGTGTTTAACCCGTGGTATCACACAGATCTACACAAGACACATGTTTTCTATTTTGTCTCATATACCTACTGACATTCAAGCGGTTAATAAGCTAAGTAGATAATAAAATTATAAGATGTAAATAAAATTGATGGTAAGTCAATTAGTTTTATAAACTTACAGTAGAAATACCATTAGTTTAGTATAATATTATGGTTACAAAATACAAGCTTAATTAACTCATTTGAGCTTTCACAATCTAATGAATATTGAATAGTGTTGTATACAGCTTTAGTTACAGGCTCCATCGTAACTTCTATGTAAAGTCTTAAGAGTCATATGTGACTTACCGATGATATATCTAGTGGCAAGATGAACATAATCACGAAGGAGAAGTACCAAGCTGTCAGCACTGACACTGTCACTATTATGTGATTCCTATAGCAGTCTCCATATCTGTACAGCAATGTCGCTGCCAACACAAACGCAGATATTAGTTCTATCACAAACAACGTGTAAGCCATTTTGCCACAACACTATACTGTTCCAATCACAAATTAAATTTAGTTCTTCTTCGCAGTTCTCTGCTTCTCCCTCCAAACCCTGGTAGCTTCGTGCTGCAGCTGCTCAAATCTAATCTGAGTTGTAGATTTCAAAGGCAGTAATCTAGGCCGTTCAATTTCATACTCCGGTGGACATTCTTCGTAAAAGAGAATCCCCTGATCGGGCAATATAGGGTCGAAGTCAATAGTTTTGTGTTCGGGCCCCTGCGATTCTGACATATTTTTAAGTACAAAACATAGACCGTGATGATGATGACATTTTCGTTAAAGCACCAGTGTTATTGACATAAAAATCACCAGACTCTCACAAAAAAGATGAACAAAGAATGAATACACTAAAATTACACAGAATCCCTAAATAAGCATTTGTGATATCATCACAAATCGCTATCAAGAAAGACAAATCAATCAAAACGTTAGGCAAGTATCCCCTGAAAATTATCAATTTGACAATTATGCTTTCTCTTTCGTTCTTACGGATATTTCCGTTTGAAATTTTGGTACTCTTTCATATGTCATTGAACTATTGCTTGAAATTGTACAAAGGTGAAAATGGAACGTTTATGTCGACAGATTATAAATACTAGCATTTACGAAGAAAGCTGCAGCTTGTCCTATAGTATAACTCAGGGCTGTCCAAACTATATACCCTCGCGGGCTAATTAAACTTACAAAAGCTGGAGAGCCAGAAAAATGTTTCTTTACTCACAGACAAAACATGCACACAAATCATACACTGAATTTTATTATTGTTGTTGCACATAAGATCAAGATGTTGAAATTAAAAAACAGATGCGAACAAGAAAAACAGGCGCGAGCCGCATGCGGCCCGCGGAACTTTGTTTGGACAGCCATGGTATAGCTTATAGATAATTGTCGTAGGATAGTTTCCTATGTAGAGCGGATTCCAAACACACGATGCTATTTCTTTCCGTTTCAAGTTTATGTTATGATGTTATATTTAATTTTATTGATGCATTACATAAAATTACACCATAGTTAATTGATATGTTGGTATAAAATATTTTTTTTGTTAATTTTGGTTTCAGTTTTGAGCCTTGGATTTGATATCTGAAAAGTAGTTTATTAATTGATTTCGGTCGTTCTGTTATCAATTAAATTATTTAGATAGTAATTGAGGTTGCTTGTGGTTGAATTACGTTTCTCCATCTCAAAATTAGATTGTTAATCATATTCATGACTTGTTGAAACTACAAATAGAAGTGAAATTATCTATGTACCTACATATTTGTTCTCACAAAAGTATAATCCCTGTCTATTCTAAGGTTAACCAAGGTGTCACAAGCAAAATATATGTAGCAAAAGGTCGACTCGACCACTATAGAAAACAAATGGAACGGAAGGCGGGATTATCGGATTTACCTCGGATCTTTTGATTGAATGGGCCTTTCATATCTAGTGAAAGGAATTCTTTTGAAAAGTTGTCTTCCTAGGACAATGCAAGGAAAACTCAATCTATTTTCTCTTTGTGTTTTATAAAGTTGTAACATAGAGAGGGAGGTGTTTCAAAGTTTATTGAAGAAAGTAAACAAAACTTATCTTTCTAAATAGGTATACGTCTATGTAATAGAGTAAGTAGACTGCTTTTTTACCTCCCCACCTCAGTGAGCTTTGTGTTAAATGGGTCGAAAAAAAATTTTTACAGAGTTTATTGCAATCATAATATATTAGTAATAAGATAATTATCTAGATATTCTTATGCTTATTATGATTTTGAGATAGATAGGTACTTACTTAGATAATGTAGGTAATGGCTGATTAATACGCCAACGTCTCGCCAGGAGCTAATTTTCCGATAGGCAGAGTCAGTAGCGAGATTAAACTGTCAGGCGGCGACGTCCCTACTTAATCAATTGTCACTCAGTGCGGCCCTGGAGCTAAAGACGCCTCATTGAGGTCAAAAACTAAATTTAGGGACGAGTAGATAGATAACTGTATTGGTATAAGGTAGGAAGGTCTATAGCCAGTCTGATTTAACCTTGTTTGTCTAATAGCTATTAGTTCTGCTGAATTATAATTAAGTAGATTCAAGATCCCTGAATTAAATTCTCGGAAATCGGAGAATTTGATTCAATATACGTGGTTCCTGCCTTACAAGTATTTTAGTAGGTACCTATGTCCTAAAATTGTGATCACAACCTGTGTGTGTGTGTGCGTGTGATCTAAGGAAGGCTGCCCGTTTGTTCAGTAAGTCCAATATTCCAGCTGATGATGGTGACGATGCGAGTTATATATATAATTATGTCGAATATACTTAACCCTTTGAGTACCGTCATTATACCTCTAGACACAATTAAAGAACAATAGGTTGCGGTCACCGGTGTCCTCGCGGTGTTTGACAGTTTAAATAACTTTATCGATTATGTCGAAAACTTCGAAGAAAAGCGCATGACCTTCGACTTCTTCTCATACCTATCTAGTCACATTATCTTCTTTCTTAAGCCGGGTGATTTTTCTTTCAGCGCTAACACATAAAAGTGAAGGCGGCGATATCGTAACGAATGTTACAGAGTCGGGTACGTGTTTAGCGTGCCGAAATAATGCCCCCGGGGGCTATAAACTGCCTACTCGCGAAAGGATATCGAAAGAGTAATTCTTATTGAAACAACGATGAAAAACTGAGGTATATGTCTCGTAAAATATTGTATCTTACCATACGACTTTCAATTTTGGTTTGAACGCATTGATTTATGAAAGTTCCCATAGTTAGTATTTTTACTAGCGGATTTAGGTGCCTGTAGCGGTTGTAGGTGTCCTTCTTTGTTAAGAAGCTTCTGAAAGAACTGTATATTGGTATTTGTTTGACCTACATAGGCATGAGATTGATACAGAAACAATCCCTTGTTTTTTATTGGCAGTTTCAGTGATTCCAAGTTTGAAAAATTTACGAACTGGTTCGCGGTAAAAATGTCCACCAGTGAGATACGGCGGTGCGGCGGAGGCACTTCCCGTCGCGGTAAAAGGGAATTGTTCCCGGTTTAGAAAAGATTTAACACTGCGGCGAACTGTGTTTTATTATCTATGGCAATCCGGCCTGGCTTCGGATAAACGAGGAGGCAGAATGAATGGTCATTTGCACATTTCCGAATTTGATTTGTTAAATGCTTAGTTAGCAGTTTTCAAAAATATGCGTCGTCTTTTCGGCTTTTATTTGGTTCTATTTAAAACTATCCACCTATTTCGGTAGTTATTTCCTGAGATCAGACCTGTATATTAGATTAGCCCAATTATTAAGGGTCTTGTGGTAGATATTTTATAGATAAGTACCTAGGTATTTTCACAAAAATATTTGGATCTTTACTTATTCATACTACAGACTCATCTCGTTTATCACAGCATTATTGTTTGCGTAACAACCACTCAATCTTAAAATAAATACAGTAAGGGATAATGAAGCTTGCTGCCGCCTGCCGGCATTACGTAAAGTGCTTTATTACAAGGAGTTAAAGCTGAAATTAGAGTAGGTAGATGAACCTAGAGCTAGTTAGATATAATCCACCGTTATTAATGTGAATTGAGAGATCCTTCTCATTACAGAATTATTAAAGTTTGTAGACTGTTGATTGCCACTTGTATTAAGTATTTCAGTACAGAATTTTCTAAAATTTAAAACATTTTTATCTATGGGCTCCACTCTTCTTTAAGCATGATGAAAATTGCCCGCAAAGACTGTTCGACTGGAAGATGACTCGAAAAAAGCCGCCAGCTCGAACTGGCTACAGAGGACATAGAGCATAACGTAGGTACTAAATATGGATGTTGTAGGAGGCTTACACTAAACTGATTAAGTAATTAAAAGTAAAAAAAGGTCTAAGTATAGGAAGAAGAGATATCGTTATCTAATTGACATAAAGGGCCAAGCATTTGGTCAAATGTTTTGTCACAATTTTATTGTTAGTATTGCTCTATTTCGTTGTGGTGGCCCGGACGTATAGGACGCCCGCTTCTCATGCATGACGGCGCGGGTTCGAAACCTACCAACGGCAAGTACCAATGTGACTTTTTACGAGTTAGGTACATGTACTTTCTAAGATTATTTAGATACCACTGACAAAACGGTGAAGGAAAAAGATCGTGAGGAATTGGGGCTTATAATTTCTAATTATAAGTTTAAAATCGCCAATCCGCATTGAGCAAGCGTGGTGATTAATGCTTAAACCTTCTCCGTGTGAGAAGAGGCCTTTGGTCAGGAGTGGACATTTATAGGCTGTTGATGTGTGATATGTATTGCTGTATTTATCTTCTTGTACACCATTAAAATATTTAGGAATCGAGTAAACAAAAGACAAACGGCTGAAATAAGTAGTTATTGAATAACTATAATGAGTAGGATACAAATAAAAATGAATAGAAAACATTTCTATTATATAACCGTGGCCGTAATACGGAATAGGTATTCGAACAAATGAATTCTAATCCCTAACGTGTAGTAAACACGCACTTGAACAATTTATTGAAAATATAATCTCGTTCGAAAGCAATTTGGAAAACAATTTTCCTTTCCTTTCATACAATTACTTTGCCGAGATTTAGCTCACGGACGAGTAGGTTGTTGCTAAACTTTAAGCTACGTAAAATATTTTATTACACGAACTAATGTTAAAAACGTCATAACAAGAGTCACACGGGATTCAGAGAGGAATTTCTCTTATGCACAAAACTTTTTACTTTTATGTTGGGTTCCGTTTGTGTGGCTGACACTGTAATTAATTTGTTTAAGTTATAATACCTACTATTAATTTTACTGAAAATATGAGATCTGGGCTTGATGATGCACCTTATAGATGTATATTATGGTGTAAGTCGCAAATTCTAATAGAGAAACTAAGGCACTGTTCGCCGGCAACACACCTGTGACTCTTCAGGTGTTGCGACGCGTCAGATTATTTGCCTCCTATTCAAAAAAAAAAAAAATGCGTGGTTATGGAGTTTTTCACATCTTACCAATTTTATGCAGTCAGCTAAAGCTGAATATACTTCAAAAAGAAGAAGACGAAAGAAACCAACACTTTTTGAAATTTTTATCTTATATTTTAAGCTTAATCTCAACCTTAACTACGAAGATATAAAGATGAAACTATTACTACAGAACCATTTTATACAAACAGAATCCGCTCTTGACATTTCACTGAGCTTTATGAAGTTATGAAATACCGTTTTCAGGCCGTAAGTGGCTTGTGAGGAGCAATTCGGAAGTTTATTATAGAGCAATAACAGTTCCAAGCTTATGCAGGCTATTTTGAGAGCATGTGCTTCGTAAATAAGAAACAGGGAATTAAATGGTTTACATTTTGTACAAATAGTTTTAATCTACAACAAATATTTTTATACATACCTATACTATTGGATAACATAACATCACGCCCTTTTTATCCCCGAAGGGGTAGGCAGAGGTGCACATTTCGGCACTTAATGCCACTGTACAATATAACACCCACTTTTCACTATTTATGGTATAAGTCCCATGTGAGCCTATTGCCATATAGCGGACACATTTCCAGACTCCGTGCTACTACTGAGATTTTTGAAAAACCCAGTAATACTTTGCCCGACCCGGGAATCGAACCCGAGACCCCTTGCTCGGCAGTCGCACTTGCGACCACTCGGCCAACGAGGCAGACTATTGTATATTAGGTTATATTAGGTACCTATGGACATGCTTATTCAGAGCAATCAGCCATAAGATATCCACTGCTGAACTTATGTCTCTCCTAATGATTTGTAGATCTACCAATGGTATTTCAGACTATTCAGTTGTTCGTACGAGTAAAAAGGGGTCTCCTCCGTTAGTTATTTATAAGCAAAAACCACAAATAAGTATGCATAAAACATTAACATAAGCCAAATAAACTTTAGTAAAAATATATTCTGCATATCTTTGCATTTCTACTTAAGAGCTTCACACATTTGAAAGGGAAAAAATCTAATTTGTTTTACATATTCGGACAAAAAACAAAAAGTAATACTGCATTTACATCGCGCGATTAAATGGGTCACACAGAGCACGCGTTCATTTCTATGTGAAGGAGATCTGAATGCAAACGGCCTAGCATTTTACATTTAGAACTTACGATAAGAGAAAATTACCACAAACGTGTTGCCAGGAAAAGATCAGCATTTAAAAATGGTAAAACTTTTTGTTCCGGTCTAAAAATGGTGTAAAATGCTTTTAGATTACGTGGTTGTGAATGCCAACGTTCAAGATAACTAAGGTTCTTATATTTTATCGATTAAGATAGAATGTAGGTAAGTATTATTGGTCGCGGAGAACATAAAAGGTTACCGGGGCTCCTGCTCGAAGTGCAGGAGTAGGTACGGGGTGGTTTTTAGTCAGTAAGAGTCTGACACTCCCTCCCGCCTCACTCAGGCGGGTGAAGTCATTCGATAACTTTCCCATATAAAAAGGTAGGTATTATTGACAGAAAAATTGTCCAAATACCGACAATATACGACCACTAACGAAGTAATATTTATTTATAAATAGATGAGTCTTGACGTAACTTTGAAACTTTAACGTAAAACGCTTATTTACTACGCATTTACGAAAGATACGTAGATACTTATGTAAAGTTTAAATAAGGGCCTGCGTAAGTGATGTAACGATAAAAACAATATAAAATGCAATTTAGCAAACATGTGGTTTATTGAAGAAAATAATGAGTTTGCTAAAAAAAGGATAATTGAGACTAAACTAAAGGCGGAAGGCTAATTTCGTCATCAACAGTTAAATCATTATTTAGGTATTTATTAGTCAGTTTTGAAAATTGTATATCTTTATTAAAATGTAAACATATTGGTCGAAGTGTGACATTGATTAATTACATGAATAAATATTAATTTGATATCAGGAAATTATAACTACAAAAGGTGGTCTAACCCACTTTATTATATCAATTATATACTGTTTCGAAACCACCTCGTGTACCATATTATTGACAATTGGAATTATATCTACATAGGTACATGTATATAACGTAAGATATGTATGTACCTATGTATGTACGAGTAGAATAAACACAGAATAAGCCAAAATATAAGTTTCGTCAATTTTAATTGTTATTAACAATACTTGAATAAAGTGTACAAAGAAAGTAAACAAGATGTTTAAAGTTACAACAAAAACATACATATTTTTTGTTCCTTTGTCCTGTTATTTGTGTAGTTGTGAGCATTAATCATTGGCCATAACGATTAAATCGGCTACTATAAATTAGAACAAAAGAATTGCTTAAAAAATAAACATTAATTTCAAAATACAGTACCTACCACTTTGTGAAGACAAACAATGTTGTATTGTATTGTTAACGTGTTAGAATTTAAAATTGCAAATACTTAACCGTGTCCTGGATTTCCACTTTTGATATTATTAAGAGTCAATATTGTTGTTCGAAGCAATATATTTTGTTCATGACGTAATGAGTAATTTTCGTGTGCCTACGCACGTTTGGTGTACAGGTATGATAGTAACAATAGAGGTATGTGTACACAGCTTTTACGGTTGCTTTGTTTGTTTCTGAACACGCGGTTCTTAACAATAAAGGGAGCTCTGAAATTAACAGTATTGTGTGATACATCGTCCATGTAGCTCACGATGAAGTTCGTAGGAATAATATTTTGCGTTTTGCTTTTTTGCTCTAAAATTGTCGGTAAGTTAGCTCTGTGGTGGAACTCTCACTGACATAACTTTAGCGTTGGTATCCTTAATTAACTTCCAAGTTTTATATTCCGAAGTTCAAACTAACTTTACGCAGTAAATCGACTTTGCCAGCTGATGAAAAATCGTCTTTAATTAGGTTGGTTAATATTTTTTTTTGTTTTTCAGATTCGAATCCTCAATCCGAGGGACAAATCAGGCAAAGAGCTTACCAATCTTCAAACTGGCCGGTAAATAAAAATGTAGCAAATGAAGAATATCCTGATACGGATTTCGCTCAATCTCAAAATGGGGACACTTTGATAAATCAAGAACCGAACGAAAATGTTCGCAATTATTATCCAAATCAAGCAAGATATACTAATGACTTTAGATACAACAAAGGTCCCATTTTGTCACAGAGAGCAGAGGTGTTAGCGAATGATGATTCTTCTGAAGATGGACGTATTTTGGAATCTTATCCATCGAGAGTTGAGAGGTATCCACTTAGAACATCTCAAGTTCGCTTGGATGACCAACATAAACGAAATTGGCAACAACCTAATCAGTACGTTAGGTCTCAGGTTGTTATATCTGAGAATGAGAGACCGTTGGAGACTGTGGAAGAACCTTATCATCCAGTACAATTTGTGAAACCAAAATATATTCCACCAGTAAATCAACGATTCCGTCAACCAGACAGGTCATTCGTAGCTAGAGAACAATATCCGATAACAAGAAATGCTGACGATACAGAATATGTTGCAAATCCTGCACCCCGATATCAATCAAGAGGGCCCGTTACTTACGAAAGTTTCACTGAAGATCAAGACACACCCGTTGAAACAAGGGTAAGAGTAAATAACCAAAAATACGCGCAAAATCCTGGTATAGTATCACAATCAAGAATAACTCACAATGGACCCCGTGAGAATGTTGGTTACGTTGAAAATGACAGATTTGTAAATACTGCACCGATATCAAACTACAACGATAGTCCTAGTGGGATAACTGTTGTGGAAAATTACGATACTGATGCTGTTGATCTTACTCCAGTAAATGAAGAAAGAGAAATTCCTGTTGAGGTAAATAAAGTTCCACTACAGAGACCTCAAATCCAGAGATACCCCAATAACTTCAGGCCTAATTCTCATTGGAGTAATGTTGCACGTCATCAAACATACAATGCTGTACCCGTCCCAACTAATTATGAAGGAGATTTGGTTTCTAACAATCCTGCTCCCATTAATGATAATGGCGCTCCATCTGTACCTATAATCCAACGGCCAGTAAGTTCTGAAGATGAGGATGAACCCAGAACTCCATATTCTGATAATGCAAACCCAGACAGGAATTTGTATCGGCAGTTGACTTCAGGAGTACAAAGTAAGTTCTTGACTTATTTATTTATTAATTTTGAATAACGTTTTAGTTGATTTTCGATTAATTACAATAATATTTACAGTTTAATGTAACTTAGTAAAATGTTGAGGGAGTGATATTTTTCTTTTCAGAATACGATTTGAATAAAATTGTGACTAACCCTCAAGTAAAAAATATTTTAGCTGCTAATAACAAACGTTTTATAGTTTTCCACCCAAATGGAACTATTGAAAATTTGGATAAGGTTGATTTAGATTCGCAAACTAATTCTAAATTCCGTTTGGTTCACTCAACTCCCAAACAATCTGATGTAGTTACTGTTGTGCCAAAAAGTGAAGTAGTTAACGAAACTCCAGCTCCACCACGTGCCCCAACAACTATCGGCAAGTTACCGGTACGCAGATTACCCCCTAATTTAAAACCAAAAGTTGTTGATATTAACACAAAATCTTTGCCTCTACCTCCACCTTCAACTACATCTACACCTCTACCAGTAGAAGACACTAATTTGAAGGTATCTTCTGTAATCAAACCTGTAGGTTTCCCTCCACAAGCTGATGAGAGTTATTCAGCACCACTACCACCTTCATTTGAAGCTTCACCAGAAAATGATAAAATAAAAATAGTACCTGCGTTTGAACCTGCAAACGATGACAATTCTAAACCTAAGAATACTAATGAACCAGAAGATGAAGAAACTTCGAGACCCTTGCCTCCAAATGAAACTCAACCCTTAAATGATAATACCAAACCTCAACCTGAAGAACCAGTTCAACCAGTCAATCACCATCGGTTTGTACGTCCATATCGTCCGTTACCTCCATACGCAAGAAGACCTATATTAAGACCCCCATTCAAACCTCTGCCACCTTATGCAAGAAATAAGTTCCAACCACTCTTCCCACGTGTTGAACAACCAGCAAATGATGAAAAATTAAATCCTGTAGCTGAGAATGACGATCAACCGCGTGAAAATCTGCCAGAGGTGGAAAATTTAAATCCTAAGATTGAAAATCCACAATCAGATATTGAATCGAAACCATTGCCAGATATTGATCAGCCAGCAGGTAATGGGAAACCAACGATTTTGAAGCCACAAGAAAAGGTGGTAGTATATGATGGAAGCTTTCAACCATTAGAGGATGATTTAGTACCTACAACTCCAAGTAATGATGTTACTTCTACAACATTATCACCCAAAGAACCAGAAAATAAGTTACCTAAAAAACCAAGAAGGAAATTAATTCGTAGACCGCCTACAACGACTACACCAGGTGAGTATTGAATCTTTAAGACGTTAAAAATATATTCAAATAAAACAAAATAAAACATATTTTGTTGCTTAATTTACAGCTCCCACACCAGCCAACCCGGACAAAAACCCAGACGATGAAATAATAACAATATCTCCTATAGAATTGATTACTGAAAATGTGAGTGATGTTCCACCAACTACGCCCAGTCCAGTTAAACCGCCTGGTCCAGAGGACAGAAAAAAAGATAAAAATCAGAGTTCTACAACTCCAGCTCCCAGTAAAGATGATAAAGGAAAAACGACTACAGTGTCACCGATTACTACAACAGTAGCTACTGACGATGACGATGAAACAGAAACTAGTAAACCCACTACAGGTAGGTAAACTTGAGACTGTCAAGTGCCATACATTTTTAAGTTGATCTAAATTTTTCGTTCAAACTGATATTTAAAGAAATGTTGATGTTACAGTTGCAAATGGTGATTGTACAGATCATTATTATTCATTCTATGTTAAAGTTACATTAGATGACAAGATTTTTTTGGTAATTATGGCGTTAGAATTGATTCTATTTTATATTATTAAAATTTGATTCCCATCGATGCAGAATCACCCGGCGAAGATGCAAAAATAGTGGTCAGTATCGACTCACAAGACGATGATGAAGAAGCTCCTCAAGTATTTAAGACTAATTGCAAAACAATACAAGCTTACAGCGACGATGAAGATGGCGACATCAAAATCGGTAAACTATTGACCTAAAATTAATTTGTATTATTGGGAGAAGAAAATTTAGGACAGATATCTCATGTAAGTTATTCATTTACAGATCTGCCAAAAGGTAAAGGCAAAGGAGATTCAGCCATGTGGGTGAAAACCACTAATCAAGATTTTATCGACATTTTGACTGGTAATAATGACAATGATATGGACATGATATACGTGTTCAACATTGATTACCGCCCCATCATAGAAAGAGAGAAGCACACACAAATATTCCCTAACGGAACCGTTGTTGTGACCACAAAGGAAACTACATATTCAGGCAAAAATGGTAAATTATTATTTAATTTCTAAGGATTTTAACTAGTAAATTAACATAGTCAGCTTCGACTTTCAACGGGTGTGGTTTTCGTACATTTTATGAGAAAAGGATTTGGCACTAGGATTTGGCCCTGTGATTTATCCTTGTGTAATTAATTTCCTTTCCAAAATTCCTTTGTTTGTGCATGTAAATGTCATGACATTTCAACTTGAATAACTATTTGTGGATTATATTATAAATCAATTGTTTCGTGCACGAATCAGGCTCAGGCATTGCTTCAGCAATAGTGACATAAAGGAAGGAATAGAAGTGACAAACGAAATTATCCCTGACGCTTGTTTTATGGATGAGGTTAACCTTTAAAAATATGATTTTTTCACAGATTCTAAGCCAAAGGTTGTGACATCGACTCAAACCATGCAAATTGAAGATTATGATTCAGATGAAGATTAGTACCTTTAATCTTGATTTTAATCAGTTCTTTTTTTGGTTTAATAACCCAAATATAAGTAATATTAATTTCATTATAAAATAAATGTATTACTCAAATCCATTATTATTTATGTCATTTATTTATTGATTCATAATTTTATTATAACATTAAATTTTTATTAATAAATATCTTCTTTTATTGAACAGTATACAGTTTAAAACTAACTAACCAACTTCGACAAAAAACGACGCTGAAAAAGTGTAAAACAAGTTTTTCAGAATACTGAACTGAACAGAGTTGCTAATGTATATTGCAAGTTAATGTCGTGGTGGCTCGGAGGTTTAAGACGCCCACTTCTCATGCATGAGGGTGCGGGTTCGAAACCTACCAACGGCAAGTACCAATGTGACTTTTTCCGAGTTATATGTACTTTCTAAGATTATTTAGACACCACTGACACACGGTGAAGGAAAAACATCGTGAGGAAACCAGGGCTTATAATTTCTAATTATAAGTTTGAAATCGCCAACCCGCATTGAGCAAGCGTGGTGATTAATGCTCTAACCTTCTCCGTGTGAGAAGAGGCTTTGCTCAGCAGTGGGCATTTATAGGCTGTTGATGATGATTGCAAGTTAATGGACACAGTGGACACAGTGGACACAGTACATGTGTACATAGCCTGTCATAAATCATAACCCTTCTTTTGCTTTGCAGTAGTCGGGTAAAACTATCTAACAGTCAATCTTTAAAATTGAGAAAAAAATTTATTATGACTTGCGTGATTAGACTATTAAAACATTTGATCATAAAAACTTATAAATATCAAGAAGAAATATGAGAAGGACTAATACTTTTAGTTATTTGTTAGAAAATAAAGCATATTTGTGTGGTAAATGCTTGCTTGCTATATAAATGGTACCTGTCCAGTCCGCCTGTGACCCTATAAAAACAAATGACTGTGATTAATATTCACCATTCTTCATATAAAGTTGGCCATTGTTCGCCGAATGTTAATCCGATTAAAGAATATTTATGATATATTCAACTATCTCGTAGCTGCGAAAATAAAATTACCCTTTACAATGGTAGGTATTTTTTATAATTACGATTTATGGAACATTATTTAGGCATTTGTACGAGTTTACTCATTTGAAAACAGTATACATGTGGAGTTGTACTTAAAATGTCATTTATAATTATAATAGCTTTTTTTTCGCGGCTCTGTATCTGCTTCAGTTCTGTTGGTCTGATGGCTACTTGAAGCGCGCGCGGAACGCGATGCGCCGTACGCTCGTGCTTACGATGGCCGGAGATCGTCTCGCGATCTCCGACGCCCGGTGTGTCTCTCGCGGCGGCCAGGGCCTGAGGATATTTATTATAATTATAATACCTACTATACTTATTTTAGCAGTAAGTATAAATGGGGCTTAGTATCGGAGCTATCCAATATTATTTAGGTAAAATTATATTAATTAATTAAAATAAGAACTTAAGTTTTTACGAGTAGACATTATGAAACACTAGCAGTGCAAACTTCAAAGAAGTTTTCATGGAACTCATCAGTTATTCCCTGTGATGTAGTGTAGTCTGGCCATTTCTTTGTACAAGGTACTAAAATTTCGGACAAGAAGCTATTAAATATTTTTTGTTGTGAAGAGCCTAACAGAATTTACAGTATACTTACTTTATGAATAATATAATGGATGCTAAAAGACACGCGACTGTTTTAACATGACGTAGTTAGAGATATATTGCTGTAATTGTAATCTAGTTTTTAATAGAAAAAATTCCTTCTGTGTAGGTGGGATTAAAAATCTTTGAAAGTGCTTGTATTATGCTTGGCAATATGTAGGTACCTATATAGAACGGAGGACCCGGTGCCTCCATTCAGGTATTGAGGGTGGCCTCCGGGGTGGTTTTAGTGAGGTAAAAATCCCACACTCCCTAGTCTTTTATCCCCAAAAAGGCTGGGCGCCTTTTGAAGGTTTCCCCCCGTCATCAAAAAAAAAAAGGTACCTATATAGAAAAAATCACCACTGATGGTGAGAGATGGATGGATGGTGGAGTTGGCCACAGATCGCTATTCACCTAACTAATACCTAAATGTATGAACAATCATAGGTTCTAAGAAAATGTAGGCTCAGTAAATAGAGACATAATTCACGTCAAACACAACTGCACTAACAAAACTATGTAAACAGCTGCAAATCCACTTATAAACACATTTACTAATAAATCATCATAGTCAATACACTTAATAACACATTCTTTCAGAACAGAGAGTCATTAACAAAAACATACCTACTGTGTTTTAAAATAGACACGTTTTTCCTTCGTCTGAATAACAAGGAACGATATAAATAATTGAATTTTGTTCCTACAAGTTTATTTCAAGTTCTTTGTAGTGATTCTTGCAAACAGAACTATAAATCTGGTTTGTAAGGATTCTCTCGTAAACTTGAGCTTAAGATGTTGTATTCATGGTCTTGGAGACACGAGTTACATGAACAATCCTTACAATGTCAGTAGAATGTCTTCAACTACAATATATTATGTGTCGCATGGAAAATAGACCTTAACGTCTTGGGAATAAAGGGTATAGTCAAAGTCGATGGTAAGTCAACTAAAGAATACGTTTAAAAGTAACTGGCAATTGGGATGATGACAGGGTATGAAAATTTAAAATCTAATTAGTCCGTAGGTTAGGTAATGAAAAAATATTAGACACGTATTTTTTTATTTTGTCGGTTAAACTGTCAAACACCAAGCGGTCACCGGACCGCAACCTATTGTTCTTTAATTGTGTCTATAAATATGGTACTCGACGAGTTAATAAAACAATATTTAGATAAAACAAAGTTTAGGAGTGGAGGCTAAAACGTCATTTCTACGTATAAAATGTACATAGAAATGACGTCACGCGACATTTCAAATCAATATATCATCGAAAGTATTCGTTTCAGTAAGAAAATAAAAAATACGTGTCTACCTCATTTAAAATAATCTACCAGACGGACATTAAAATAAAAATTAGGCATAGCTACCCTATTGAATTGGTAAATAATGTTACAAGGATCAGCTTTTTCTGCCAGCTGATTAACTAAGTACTAATATTTATGTATTTACAATAATGTAATTATTGTAAATATATATAATATCAGACATTATATAATGCTTAAATGTCTTTAATTATTAATGTTGTGTAAATGGGGGTAACATGTTTTTTACCTCCAACGACGATAAGTACGATCAGTTGCGAACACTTCTGTTAATTGCATTAAACATTGTTTCCAAACACTTATAAGATTTTTTAACATCACCTTCATCACGATCACCTCGGCACATCCTCTACTTTTTTATGGTATAAGCCGGTAAACGGGTTGACGGATCACCTGATGGTAAGCAATCGGCGTCGCCCATGGATACCTGGTACACCAGAGGCGTTACAAGTGCGTTACTGGCCTTTTGGGGATTAGGAGTTTGAGGATCGTTGGGGATTCAGGAATTGGGGAGATTGGGGAAGAGGAGGGCATTTGGGCCTCCGGTAACCTCACTCACACGACGAAACACAACGCAAGAGTTGCTTCACGTCGGTTTTCTGTAAGGCCGTGGTAACACTCAGGTCGAGCCGGCCCATTCGTGCCGAAGCATGGCTCTCCCACACTTAACTACTGCGTATTTCACGTCCTTCGCCTGCGTGTTTCAATAAATTATACATTGATGTTTCGGATAAAATTATTCTATGAACTTGTGCGACATTAGAGACAATTTATTGGTCTAACTTTTATAATGAACTTGAATCTGCTACTAATATTATAAATGTGAAAGTTAGTATGTTTGATTTGATTACTCCTTCATGTCAAAGTGGCTAAAGGGATCGATGTAAAATTAAGAGCAGAGGTAGATTATGCTCTGGCATAACACATAGGCCACCAATTTTATGCCATAAAGACGCAAGCGAAGCCGCTAACAGAAGCTACTAAGTCACAATAATGGGCATAAAACGTCAGCACAGATAGAAACCACTATTATGAGCATTTGAGCATTTATTTCGGTTCTACGTTCAATTGCAGCTCACCGCAATAACAGGTGTTCTGGGAATTTGTGGCTACCGACGCAGCGTTATAATATTTGAATTTACGTCCCACTAGTTCTCAAATTCGATTTAGTAAATATCTCTTGGTAGTTGTTGATTATCGATATTACTTAAAGTGTAGTTACGAAATTGAGAGGATCTTGTTGTATTCTGATAGCTGGTCTAGATAGTCATTTTGGGACTACGCCAGATTGCCATGTTAAATTGTTACCTATAATATAAGGTCGTAAAAGTAATGTGGTAGAATGTAAAGCCGCATTTACACTAAGGGACATTTGTTCCGCGACTCTGTGTGCGTGTGTTGAGACGAAATTTAGGTGACCCGCGTTATGTCGCCCGACGTCGCGCGGGACATTTAAGGGTCGCGCAACTTGTGGCTAATCGATGCTCTGCGAGAGTCGACACGCACGGCTGTGTGTCCATCGACAGTTGCCGGACAGGTATTGAGTAGCTGGGCCAATGTGAACAAGCAAAATGTCGAGCGACATTGTCCCACAAAGTTGCAGAGACATACCACGTGAATGTAGGGCAATATGTCTCCACGAGAAATCATCAATTCTTATTGAGGGTTAAAAATGTATAGTTATGGAAGCTACGTTAAATATGAGTTATTTCTATATTTAAGAGCGTACTTAAAGCGAGAGCTTTCTAGAACAAACTAGCGTTTAAATATTTGAACGCTAGTTTGTTCTGGTAAAACTGTATGTTACTTTATAATGGCCATAGTGTATTGTTATAGTGGTCATATACAGTGTTTAAACCCTCACTTCAAGTCCCGCGAGAACCACAATAATACAAAACACCGCGTTGCTGTTATTGAAGGTCCCTAAAATTATACATTCACTCTTCTTGGAAATCGGGCAGTTAACTCCGCTAACAAACCGACACGAATTTCTTAGAATTTGTCCCAAATACAAAATACATTAACAAGTGTATTTTACAGTTTGTTAAAGTTCTATAAATTGAATAA